GGAGAAAGATGAATCGGTTTACTAATTCAGTTTTTTATGGATATTTTGTGTGACATTTCATGTAAAGAATGTTGCCAGTTCTAATAGTTTGCGTTCCAGGAGCTATGCACTGAAACCTCTGGTTTCAGCATGATGGAGTGCTTGCACATTTTAGCAGCACTGTGCCGAAATACCTTGATCACTGGATTGACAGAGGCAGACCAGTAGCATGGCCACCGCGATCCTCCGACCTGACTCCCCTGGATTTCTACCAAATTTAACATGCTGTAGGGATACATGAAACCCATAGTGTACAAGATGACAGGAACATCGGACATGGACCACATTGCCACGTGTCCATAACACACCTGCCCTATTCTGAACAGGTCTTTGAATCCATGCGAAACACGTATTGTGGCGAATGGAAGGAATTTTTTAAATATATTTTCTGAGATTTAACCATGTTCTTTAATAAGTTTAACACTTCTTTTGACAATCTTTTCTTTCCTCTCCTCATTCAAACACTGTCCTCTAGCTGTCAGCGTTCGCATTTTCGGACATAAGTTCCTATGTAAATCTTGTTCGTCATGGTATGACAGACGAGCATGTTAAATTTGGCAATGACCTTTTGAGACACCCGTGTATAATAACAAAGGTTGCTGCTAACGATTATGATTCATTTTTATATGAAATTTTATATCATCCAAATTTATGTTAGCATTATTTACCACAAAACATTCGGAAATATGCCTAAGAGGAGTTTCTGTCTGGTAGAGAGTTAAAGAGAAACAATTCGAGAAAAATTTAGAAATTGAATAATTTTAAAAATGTAATGAATCATAAAAGAGTAAAATAATACTTCATGCTCTTTTATGGGTGTTAAAAAAAAACAGACTCATATTTTTTTTTTCAGCTGTGTTCGTTCGTCAGAGAAGAAACTTTCCATATGAAGCTGGTTTTTAAAATGTTTCACTATATTGACAAGTAATATGAAAGCAATGTGGGATTTTTTTTCCATCACATTCAATCGAAGAGCTGGAAGGATGATTAACACATAATGGGTGGCTGAAATTATTCTGCTTTACCTACCGTGAATTCTGCAATGCCCTGTAATGAATACTTGCTCGCTGCTTTTATTTTTCCCATACGCATGGGAAATTTGCCAACGAGGTTTCTTTATCTTGACCACTTTTATTTTACTCATATGCATTGGAAATTTGCATTCAAAGTTTTTTTCCTTCTCAACTACAGTGCTCATAATTCTAGCATTTGTTTGGCCACTCTTTGTCAGGCTCACTGTCCCCTAGACTAGTATTTTTGTGATTTTCACCGACTGAACATGGTTTGTGACCTCATGTTCCATGGTAATTTTTCATTGTCTTGACACCTATTATCACCCATCTGAATTTGTTTGTCGAATTCAGCACCATCCTGCACACATATTATAATTAAGCATTATAAGAGATATAAGTTTTGCATTAAAACATTCGATAACATATAGCATTTATTTTTTATTTTATTCATTCCATTGTAATCTTGCATTCAGTATTCCTTTAATTGTTATAAATATAATAATAGCTTAATACATTAATAGCATTTTTATTCATTTATTCTTTATACGAATAGCTTAATCAAGAAAACCTTTGTACGGAAGAACGTGTTTAGAAGATCACATGTAAAAATATGGTAATTCCTTTATTGCAATGTGATTGATGTAAATTCAAATAATTGAACTTGGTAAGCATTTGTTACAAACTCTCTGTTAGTTTAGGTGAGGAATGTTGGGAAACACCTATAAAGCATGCACCATTACTGTGTGTGTCTGTGCAATATTTGAAATTATTGATATGTCCGTGTATTATGAAAATGTTCATGTAGTATTTGAAATGTGGTACACCATGGAAGTGATTCAGCAGAAGAGTGAGGATAAGTTGTACGGTAAGTTGTCATACAGTATTGTCCCAAATATGTAAATTTGACAACACATTTTTCAGAGTTATAAGCATTATAAAATAAGTTATAAGAATTATAATTGTTATAAAAATGAATTATATACCATAAAAATGATTTGAAACAAAAGTGAGGACAAGTTATAACAATTATTTGAAAATGATGTTCTGCAAAAGAGAGGCTAAGTTAAAAATATTATAAGTGATTTATGTTATCATCCGAAAAGTAAATATCCTCTAAAAACAAATCCAACAAATATAACTATCCTCAAAGACAATCAAAACAATTTGTTCGGTGGTTCGGATTTAAAACAATAGACGATAAAGGTCTCACTCTAAAAACACAACAATTAATTAATTTACAAGTTGAGGTTATTGAAATAGAGCTCTCTTGACAGTAAATTATTAGGGCCGGCAATTCTCTTACAGGTATTTTAAATATCTGGATACAATCAAAATTCTAATTGTAACTCGGAGATGCAGGGAAGGTAGAGAGCCATCTATAGGCATTTTGCAACACTCCCCACCTGAACTCTTAACAAAGAGTTTATAACAGATACTTACCAATTTTAATTATTTGGATCAATCACACTGTAATAAAGGAATTACCATATTTTTATATATGATGTTCTAAACAAATTTTCCCATACAAAGGTTTCTTGAATAAGCTATTAATATAAAGAACAGATGAATAAAAATACTATTAGCACATAACAGTCAGTTAAAAGACTACTAAATGCAAATTGCAATGGAATGAATAAAGTAGAGAATAAAAAGAAAGATTCAATTTTATGAACAACATATTGTTAATTCTCAAATTCAGTCATTGAGCTTTAAATTTCAAATTAATTTAACCGGTTTTCTTATATAAGTCCAGTGTCAGTTTTGAACTCAAACACGAGAGAACTTTGCCGTGCCTTCAGTTTCGAACATTAGAGAAATGCCTCCCTTCCTCTTAACATATTTCTAGCTAACCTAGAAATATGTGGTTCCCAGCGACCACATATTTCTAGGTAAGTGCTCTTCATAGAATAACATTATGCCATATAGTTTGAATTCAGTTGCCTTTGAATTTTGCTGGCACATATTAGTGGACCTTAAATTTAGTAAATATTGAAACCATTTTATTTTAGGCAACATTTCCAAAAAATTTAGTAAACATTTTGGGGCAACATTTCCAAAAATTTTAGTAAATATTTTGCGGCAACATTTCCGAAAAAACTATTTAACACGTTTGGTTGATGTTTGAATTTTTCCAGGATGGATTTTCTCGATCCTGATGAATCATCCTTAGTTATTCTAGCTGGAGGAAGGAATAGCTAATGTTTTGCCAAACAAAAAATGTGCAGAAGTGAGTGGAGAGTGTTCTTAAAGTTCACTATATAAGCAATGGGCCTATAATTGATCATGGCTTCAGTCTCACTGAATACTGTTTCGAGTTCATTGAGATATAGCGATGAATGACCTACGATTTTTTTATAACTTGTTTTGATCATTCTGATCATTTTCATCCAAAATCCCCCCATACTCCCCTTTCATCTATATATTTCCAATGAATACTGTAAATAAAGAAATTCTTTATGGAGGGATCAGAAATAGAGTTCCACAGTTTTTTAAGTTTAATGTCTGCGCACTTGTATGATTTTGCATTAATGCTGTATACTGCTGAACACAGTCCTCTTGGAGATATAAATCGCCTGAAAGCTAACACGAATGCTTCATTATTCATGGAAGGTACCAGTTCTAAATGGATGGCATGAGTCACTGCACTAGTAAATACTAGTATGTGATGTTTATTATTGCTCTCTTTAGAGAAAAATGGTCCGGTGCAATCCAGTTATGGTGAACGGCGATGTCTGAAGTTTTCATTCCAGAAGGAAGGCAGCTATGTCTTGATCTCCCAGGCGAACACTATATCTTTTGCAAATCACACATCTGCTCAACAAGGATTTAATTTGTTGTCTCCCTTTGATGATGCAAAATGTTTCACGCAGATGCATCAGAGTGGAATATCCTTTTATGTGCTTTGAAAATTTAACATATCGAAGTTTGACGGCAGTATCCATAGGTGCTTGGCAGATTCCAGGCAGTATGCAAATTGTATTCTGTTTTTTAACGTAGAAGTCCATATTGGTTGATTTCTGGATTCAGCGAAGGATTTCTTTTTTGAAATATTGAAATTGTTTTTAATTCAATATTTTTCTGCATTCATTATTACAGAAGTAGCTAATGATCTACAAAGTCTTTTGGATGTAGGGTTAGAACTGTTAATGAACCTATATATTCACGCCGTTAATTTGGCATACCTTATTTAATTTGCTAAATTGATTTAAATTGAGCAATTAATTAGAATTTTGTATGATGTTCTTGTTGTTGCTGGTAGCTTGCAGGATACTGACAGTTCTACAGACATCTCTTCCTCATTTGTCTCCATTCTTGGTGTCTCAGGCCAGAAATTTTCAGGCTCCAGAAGTCCGTTTTGTCATAATGGACTCGAGATGATGGTTTCAGCTCATTATCTTCGAGACAGTAGGTTTGCAGTGTTATCTTTTTCACTGCAATGGGACCACAGGCTAGCATTGCAAATTGCCTGGATTTCTGCTACACGGTTGCCAACAAATGGCTTCAAGACATTTGGTGATTTTCTTATCTAATAGAGCGTTATTTGGGAGTCACTCCAAAACATAATATTATTGCTTAACATAAGCAGGATGTGTTTAAAATATTTAGCAACTACAATGGCTCCCATTAGCTCACATCTAGGAAGTGTTAAAGATCTGAAATGAGCTATTCTTCTTTTTGCCATTATGAAACTGGTTTTAATTTCCTTATTTTAATCAGCATATTCCAAAGGCTCTGGATGTAATGTTACTAAAATTACACTCAGCTATGTGTAATTAATGTCATGGAAGAATTTTCTATGGAAATCAAGAATTTTTAAACATTTCATTTCCACACATCAGGCCATTCACCTTTTTTAATATCGGTGGGAAGTGTAACATCCCACTCTAAACCCAGAAGACAAATGTCTTGTAACATGAACTTAATCCAAACTACAAATAGCCAACAGGGTCAAATATTTTGCACTCTTTTATTGTTGTTTTCACTAGTTCGAAATGACTCCTGAACTGCTTTCATGTTTAACTTGATTATATCATTACTAGGATCTCAAACCATGTCCAAAAATTTTTTTTTGTTTATTGAAATTATCTTCCATTTTAACTTCATCCATAATGAATTTGAATAAAATGAAAACAAGTGCAGATTTAAATACTTATTTACAATTCAAAATGTTCAATTTTCAATGAATTCTCATGATCACACAAATAATGAGTTTACAAAATGAGAAACTTTGGGAAAATATTACATTGTATCAATATAAGAAATGAACTTTTGAGGATAATATTGCCATAAATAATATAATAAATATTTCAGAAAATAAATTACATATTTTTTATCCAACACACTATCTTTCCAGAATTAATATTACATTCTCTCAGTATATATTGTCATTTGAAATTTCATTAATCTTTATCAGATGCAAGTTTTTTATTATATTTCTGAAAAGCAGTGTGAAATGAGGAATCTTCATATTCAGGCCAGGAAGAAAACTGGTTAAAAAGCATGAGGATCTGTTTTGGATTCAGGTCTCCAAATCTGGTGAACACATTCATACCTTCTTTTATTAATCTTGGTCCACAAAAAGGTATCCATTTCCTAAATTAAGAAATGAATCATAAAAATTATGCAAAATGTTTCTTGCCTAAATATGGAATGTCTAGATAAATATCTAAATTTTCTAAATTCGGAGCATACATATTTTCATCATATCATCAAGTGTAACAAAGCCTCCTTTCTCCCTAATTAAAGTAACAAAAATGTTGTAGAATGAATAGAATCAATAGCAAGAAACAAACAGATAATTCTATCTCTCAATCTGAATTGGTCACTTTCTGTTAAAACCACAAGAAATGTGGAATCTCTGTTGACTAACATGACTTGCCATAATGAAAGAGGGCATCCAATTTGGAAACTTTATGGTATGATGAATAGCGTGAAATTGTTGTGCATATTTAATATACTTCAAAAAAGGCCTATTATGTATGTGAAATGGAGATTTTTTCAGCCTGTTTCTAGTGTTTAAAAAAGGAGTTGATAAAACACATAATTATGAGGAAGTCCAACTTTAATGATGATGACAGAGAAAAGTTATATAATGTTTTTCATGTAATGATATTATTTTAGTTACTACACAATATATAGTACATATACAGCATGTTTCAAAAAGAATATATGTATTTTGAATGCAAATATTTATTAAACTGTATGACAAATGTATACGAAACTTTACACACATATGTACGAACCTCTCAAGTTCAGATTACAGACGTTCAATATGTCCTCCATCAGCGACACGAACCATATCACATCAATACTCAAATTCCTCCCATACTCGGGCAAGTATGTCCATCGTCACTCATGTTATAACAGTACGGATCCGGTTCCTCACCTCTTCCTGGTTCTATGGGAGTGGCGGTACATAAAAGTTTTAATGAAACCCCACAGGAAGAGTCACAGGGTGTCAAATCCGGTGACAGTGAAGGCCAGCTGAGACAAGCTAAGTCACCAGCTCCTTGACGACCAATCCAACGGTTCGGTAGAGTTTCATTCAGATAATCAAGCACTTGGCGACTCCAGTGAGGGGGTCCCTGTCTTGTTCAAAAATGAAGTTGTCTTCGTGCAGCCTCAGAAAGAAACAGTTTTGTAACATAGCGAGATACTGCTGACCGTTAATCGTGTTTCCATCAAAGAATGGGCAATAAACAGATGATTTGGATATTGCACAAAATACACTGATTTTGGGCGAATCTTGTACATGTTCAATAGCTGCATGTGGGTTCTGTAGGCCCCAAATCGAACATTGTGTTTGTTTGCATGACCACTAACAAGAAAAGTTGCTTCATCACTGAACACAATGCGTTGTGCGAAAGTGTTATCATTGCCAAAGGCATCAATAATCTTGTTACGAAATGCCACATGTTTGCGTTTTTCATCAGGACGCAGAGCCTGTAACAAATGTAACCTGTATGGCTTCATAACCAACCGATGTCTCAAAACATGCCAAATTGTTGTTGTAGGCAGTTGTAACTCCCGACTGGCAATAGCAAGAAATAGTTGATTTTGAAGAAATAGTTGATTTGATGTTGAAACGAGTTGATTTTGAAGGACTACGTTGGAAAGCAGTTTGAATTCGTGCAACATTTTCGTTGGAACACGAGGGAGGCCAGGACTCATTCGGAGGATCAGTTTGGTACCTAAACTTGAAACGTCTTTGCACTGTAATCATGGAATTGCACTTCACAAACTCGAGAACACAAAATGATTTCTGCTGTGGAGTAACCATTTTAAACATGTGACGGTTACCACACAAAACAGAAGACAACTGACATCTAGCGGCTATTAACATAAACTATTTATTATATATTTGTTTTGCCAATAGTAGAGCCGAAGCGCAGTGATTGATAGTTTGAACAAAATAACACTTTGTAATACATATATTCTTTTTGAAATATGGTGTATTTTATTGTAAATTGCCTGGAGTTAATAGATAGAAAATTTACAATTGACCATAAACAATATAAACATATAGGTTGTAGCTATTAGTTACAGCAAAGCACTCTACAATTACTACAGCCAAGATACGAAAACAGATTTACTAATATAGGCTTCTGATACTTAGAAGTTTATTGACGGTAATTTCTATAAAACATTCCATTTAACTTTATGTTTTTCAAGTTTTCTTTTGTTTATCACAATTTTTCAAAAGCATATATTCCTTCATTTGTTATTGTCAAAGTCAAGTAAACATTAATTTGCCAACATCTCTTTAAAGAAGCCAGATGAAAAAGAAAACATGAATTTTAATTCAATCACACAGCAGAAATTAAAATAATTTGAGTATTAAATTCAATAACACCTCAGTTTAGAAAAGTCTCAGTTAACTGATGACTCCTACCAGTCTCTGACTTATATCAAAGACAGTGAGGTAATGTTCCTCTTTTACTATAAAAATTGAAATCAAAAAGCAGTTCTTTATATTTTAATTCAAATTTCATATAATTAACTCTGTAAATGATTGCAGTTTAAAAAAAAAAGTTCTTGAAAGGCTATATTTACAATGCATTTCTAAATCATGAGAAAATGTGCTAAACATTTTCTTTTATTTAAAAGAATTAAAATTATGAAGCAAAAGATATAAAGTAGACACAAAGCTTATGACTAGATCAAAGTAGCCACACTATTCAAGCAAATTAAAATGAAATTTTTTTTCGTCCCTTCTACTTTTCTTTCCTATTTATGTAAATTTAATTTTGTGACTTCCATTTCATCGGAAGTAATGACTGTAGCCTTTTCTTACATAGAATTTAATTAATTCATCGGCTGATCTTGAAATTACTTTTAGCCATTGGATTTTTAAAAAGTAAATATTCCTAATTTTTCAATTTCTGCAAAGACATTTTAATGTTAAATAAAGCATATATCTAAACCAATTTCAGAAAGAAATGGACCAAGTGAACTTATTTTAATAAATATCTTTCAACTAAATAATTTAGGGAAGAGATTGTTTTATCTTTGAATTACTATTTGCAAAATTATATGAAACAGTAAATATTTTTCAGATTATGAAAAATCAGAACTAGCACATATTCTAATAAGAATTAATTATTAGTAGACATACTAAGAGGAAAAAAATTATAAGTTGATTCTTAGCTTACTCCATAGTGGGAATAACAAAGGCTGTCCTTTTACCAAAATGATTGCGAACAAAATAGTAGAATTCAAGAAGTTTATTATTGTCAGTGACTAATTCAGGAAGATCAGATACAGGTGTAAGTTTTACAAGGTAAAAGTGCTGCAGATCACGCATCTGAAAGTAGATAAACATGGGATAAGGCCTGATAAAGTACTAATATAAAACTCTGAATATCAAATGATTTTTCTTGCATGATAAAATTATGAAGAATATATTATTAAATAACAAAATAATTACTATAACATAATCAGGAAATAAATATTTTAGTTCCCCTGCCGGCTTGGAGATACCTTGAGTAAAATCATTGGCCCAGTTAGGTGGGTGGTGTAAGTCGTAGAACAGATGGTTCTGTAGCTAGGTGCAGGACGACATCAAGTTTGATAGGTAATGTCCTGATGTGACATGCAGCCCGTGTAGTACTGGTGGGAGCATTTTGAGGACCAGTCAGATCTTCTGGTGATCAGATCATGCCCCTCACCAAACACCGAGAAAAGGGAGTGGTGACCTCTTGGGCCTGGCAAGTAGGTGGGGGCTTTTGGAGCATTTAAATGTCTAAGGCGAATATTCAGAGTGGTACCCAGATTTCCAGACATACGCCAATTCACATTCTTATGAACCAGGTTAACGGTGTATCCTCTCGCTGACTAACAAGGGGTTCTCAGTAGCAGGGCTCTGGAGTCGGTAGGGAAAATGACCAATTCCAAACATATACACATGAGTTAGAGTTTATTTTTTAATATAAAAGAAGTAATAGATGCTACAGGAAAAAAAAAAAAAAAAAAAAAAAAAAAAACTGATGGCACAGCAAATTATTTATATTAATTAACATTTATAATGAAATGGAAAAACTGTCATTAGTTATTTCTAAGAAACAGTATAGCTTCAGCAAGATCTTTGTTGGAGGAGCATAAACTGAATTTGATAAACTTCAGACCTGAGAAGAGTCTTTCCACACTCACTTGAGTAGGAGGAAGAGCTGTTACTATTAGGGCTACTTCTTTTAACTTTTCAGGATAGATTTTTATAAGTTCTAAAAGAGGTGTCTTGCAAGAGCAAACATATTTCTCTATTTCTTCAAAGGCCCTGTAGAAATCTTGTTTTTATTTCTTCAGTTTTATATCTAAAGGGTCTTGGTTCTTTATTTTCATTTGTGTTGCTTTTGCCTTTTCAATATTATCCAAACATATATCTCAAAATCTGAAATCTCTAACATCACTGAAAGAGGATAATAGAGACTCAGTTGCAATGTCTGCTGTTTGATTGTCCTGATTTGAATACTCCCAATTGTTATGAAAAAGTTCATATATAGCTTTCTTTGTCTTCTTAATTTGTTCATCATCTAACCATATTCGATGTTTTGGATCTACATATATTGAACGCAGCAAGATCTCATTGTTTAGCACACTAGTTTCTCTTTTCTTCATTGAAGAAATAATTCCTTCTGCAACAAACCCTCCCTTTCAGAAAGAACAAACATCACATTCTTCCATTCTCGCCCTCCTGTTAATTCTTCAGATTGTAGCTTTTTTGTGGCTATATACAGTGTAGAAAGAAGAGTTTCCAATTCTGAAAGATCGTTCTACATTCTTTCTGTTAGTGAAACATTAGGGTTATCTACATCTTCTAAAAAAGTTCTTAATTCTAACAACCTTTATATCATCAAATATGTACTTCCTCATTGTGTTGCTTGATCAATAATTGCTCCTTATCCTGCTCTCTTCCTAAGAACAGCATCAATTTTGGGAGTTCTTGCTGCTATTGCTGCTTACCTAAATTTAGCAAGCAGATTTGTAACTAAATAAAGTAACTAAATGAATCAGTCTAATCACTAATGGCAAATATCACATCCATCCTCCTCCCTTAAATTTATTTATTAATATGTCAATAAAATAGAAAATAACTATTTTATTAATGTATATAGTCCATTCATAAAATAATAACTCAGTTTGTCATTATTTTGTTTTTTAATTCACTTTAATTTCATTTCAAATTCAAACTGTCCAACAAAAACTGGAGTAGGAGTCTACATGTTTTTATCGACTCCAGCTCAAACTCCTTTTATCCCAAAATCTGCTCAACTCCAATTCCGACTCCACAGCCCTGCCCAATAGGCTGTGGCTCCCTTAGTTGCAGGAAAAATGTACAAATTTTGATTAATATAATGTGTATCATACCAGGTAAAAATTACATATTTTCTAATTACAGGCATAATACAAGAGTTAAATTCTGTGGGGGGGGATCTGATTTTGACATACAGATTTCAGTATATTATTTGAAATGATACAGAACTGCTGTAAATATTTTATCCTTTTTGACTGTATTTTTGTTTCTCTATATTGCTGTAGTATTTTGTATCATATTATTATTTATTTTACTTATTTATTAATTTTAGAATGGTAGTTTTATTATTATTATTATTATTATTATTATTATTATTTTGCATAGAATTGTAGATACTTTTAGTTCTGAAAGCAATGGCTATGGAATTGTACAAATAGCTCAACGAGAACTCGAGATATAGGAGGTTTCATTCCTAAAAGACTTTGCAACATTTTTTGCTGCCAAGGTGGTGATTCCTTGTCAACTTGGTGACTTTGGGAAGATTCAGAAAACACATTTTTAAATCCTTATGACTGATTCTTCCAGAAGTTTCCACAGCCTATACTGCAAGTTATAAATACGAGTTGGGAAAGCTAGGGAGCTTAGTTGTGAAACTTGAGGCTGGTTTACACTTATCCAAATGAGCCTCGAGTGACTTTCGATGAGCTCCTAATCCGAGCATCTCAAACTGAGTGAACAGACCTGCACTCTGATAGATTGGAAGTTTGTGAAGCAGTTTTACTAATTAAATTCCTAACACACACACACACACACACACACACACACAAAAAAAAAAAAAAAAAAAAATTGTTTGGGCATTGTCGCAGGAGTTATTACTCAAGTTGCCATGTGTTGATAAACATGCAGTGATGAAAGCAAAATATAATAAATAATGATTCACCAGGTTGATGTTAGGGATATAAAATGTTAGTAGGTGTAAAATTAATGATGTTTCTATGTAGAATGTTTCGGTTTGAGATGTATGTGAAGCAGATACGCAGTTACGAAGCCAAATTATTGATCGCACAAATTTATGCTAAATTAATTTTTCTTTGGTAACAACAAAGAATTAATTAGAAATTAAGAATCGGGACTCTCAAGATGTTTTATTATTGGAGGAAAAATCAAATGTGCTTGCGTAAACCATACAAAAACAAAAAAACCAAAAAAAAAAAAAAAAAAAAAAAAAAATTGGTGGTGGTTTTGAGGTCCGGATTTTAGACCATTCCGAATATTGGACATCCAGATTTCTGACTTTGTACTGTATATATAATGATAAGAAATATTTATTTTCATATGCTTACTTACTAAAAAATCTTAAGAACTCTTATTTTGTTATAGAAAAAGAACAAACAAAATATATGAAATTACAATATTTGGTTGCTTTTATAACAAAAATGAAAAAAATGTCAGATATTTAATAGAAAAAATGAAAAATAGAAAAATTTCTTAGAAAAGAAAATTGAGACCTAATCTTAGCAAACCTACAATTGATAATTAATTCTGAAAAGTATTTTGGACAGAAACACATGGTAAACATTACCTTCTTTGCTTTTCTATACACAGGCGATGGAAAAAATGATTCAGAACTAAACTGAAAATAAAACATATTCACATTATTATTATGGACTATATAAAAAAGTTTTAATTAAAACTTACTGGTGTTGTAATACTTTTAATACTTTTGAATTTTCTAGAAATATAAATATGTTAAGTTCAAAATTTTAAAAATCAAGTCATATTAATAATAATAATTTTACTTAATGTAAAAGAATTTTGATTTATAAGAATTGTTTGAAAGATAAGCTATGCCAATCAACAATATAGTAAAATAATCAACAACTAATTTAACAGTTAAAAATAAATTTAAAAAAAAAAAAAAAAAAAAAAAAAAAAAAAAGGAAAAGCATGCAGTTTAAAATGTACAATAAGGTAAAGTAACCCCAGAGAAAAATGCTTTTTATACAAAATTCTGGGAATTATAGGAACCATATTATACAGGATGATTCTAAATTGTTTTTACAAATTGAAAGGGGTAAAGTACTCATCCAGATGAACAATAATTACCATAGAACATAGTGTCGCACTCCACTCTGAGCGGCAGAATAGAGAAATATAAGAATTTCAACCTGAACTTACAACAGTGCTAGGAGAGCGAATGAAAGTGACCAAAAGTTGCGCAATCAGTTTAGTGAAAAACTCACAGAGAGTGCAGAAAACAGATAAAACCAAAAACTTGGCGTTCGAGTGTTAATTCGAGCTCGGACTTTGATAGCAAACACTCAAATGCACATCTTTGGTTGGCAAGGTCTCAATCTCGCAAACAATTGCAACAAGTTAATTTTCTAATCAAGTGCTGAATATTATCAACTAGCTCCAACTTCCGCTGTATGACGAGATTAGCATGAAAAGTTCATGCTGTGTTCTGGCTGTCAGAACTTCATGTCCCATAGAAGAGCGCTTCAAGTAGAATGAGCACAGCAAATTAAGTCCTGCAGGACATGATAAAAGATGGCAAAGGGAAAAAAAACTGCTACCTTGATACTTGATATTGAGCTCAAATTAACACTTGAAAGCCAAGTTTTTGGTTTTATCCATTTTGTGCACTCTCCGAGATTTTCACTAAACTGATTGTGCAACTTTTGGTCTCATTCGTTCACTCTCCCAACTCTGTTGTAAGTTCAGGTTGGAATTCTAATATTCATCTTTTCTGCCTCTTAAGAGTGGAATGCGACCTTATGTTCTATGGTAATTATTGCTCATCTGGATCAGTACTATCAGCCCTCTTAATTTGTAAAAACAATTTAGAATCATCCTGTATATATAATCCTTATTAGACTCTTTAAGCATACTACTTCCTTGCTTTATTCACGATGCAATATAACTGAAAACAGGAGACATTTATCTGTTGAACTGTTCAAATATTTTACAAATTACCTGAATAATGGAAGATTTTCTTTTACAATTGAAAAAAATTGGTTAGTAACATACGTCCCCACTGGCAATTTTTGAAAAACAAAAAGTGTTGCCAAACACTATGATTTAGTGCCAATATTGCATAAGTATGATGCACAGATGTGCTTACTTAAATCAAAAGACTACAGGGTTTGGCAAAATGGTGCAATAATCACAAAGGAGATAAATGCAACTGGGGACTTGCTATTGGAATGATTGGTGAGTTTTAATGATTCTAATATAACTCAAATAATATTTTTTTGATATGCTATATTCTCATCGTTTAATTTTCTAAGCTATTATTTTAAATGCCTTTCCTATCAACCTCAGTTTATTTCCCAGCCAGAATGCAAATTTCCAGCATGCACGATATTCAAATTAGGTAGAAGAAGGAAGTATTTAAAAGAAGGTTTTGGAGGGTGAAATCAGACTGTGCTCCACCTGCTGAAGGCCTTTGCTAACTTCGTTTCTCTAGCGATTAGAATTCTGGGGCATTGAGTTATTCTTGCCATTAGGCTTGTTTATGCCAACTTCGAGGCAGAGTCAGCTTGCACAAAAAGTTAAACTGTTAAGCCATTAATTTTTAAATTATTCATTACCTTTTGATTTAAACCAAATGTGTTGGCATTTGCAAGTACGAGTTGGTGATGTTAAACTTTATTTGAATTAATAAAGGGTTCTTTACACTCTTCTCCTGACTCTGCAGTACTTTAAAGGACTCGATGATAATTCACGAAACAGTCTTCAAAGTTGCGTACATTTTATGATAGCTAAGAAAAACACATGACGTTATATCCAAAACATGTGTCTGTCTAATAAAGGAACTCTTCATTCTAAATTTTCGTAATAGAGGAACTCTTCATTCTAAATTTCACTCAGAAGGATTTACAAAAAGTATGAGCAGTTTTTATTTATGATTTTTATATGCCATATCTATAATTTGTATCTTTTGATTCCAGGTAAATGAAGAATGATCTGTTCCTTCAGATTACTGGCAGAATGATTGGCACAAGTTTGATGAAATCTCTGCAAACCTTCAAAAAGCACCTAAGTATTTAAAAAAAAAAAAAAAAAAAAAAAAAAAAAAAAAAAAAAAAAACAGAAATGATTTTGAAAAAAGGTTACATTACGCTCTAAAACTGGCAGCTGAAAACTATTACTTGCCTCTAACAAAAGATTCTCGTTATATTAAGAATATATAGTACTCTAATTTTCTCATAATGATAATTAATTTTTATACTATTTCTAAAACGGATATTTCGCAAATTACCTACAGATTCTTAAGCAAAAATTTTAATACAAGAAAGATTCCAATGAAACTAGCATATGAGAGCATACAATAAAGTAAAAAAAAAACTATTACCTTCATTCTCTACATTGAAGCAGCAACATTAAGAAAAAAAGTTATGTAAACTGAAAGGATTGCAAGTGTAATTAAAGCCTACAAATTATATTTTTAAGTGTCCAGCTCTAATCAACAGCATGTGAGAAGAGTTTAAATGATATGAAAGACTGATCAACAGCAAGTTTTTTTTTAATGCTATATGGTAATTAAGAAATTAAATGGTCTTGTGGTTCGGTAGTGCAATGTCTTGAGTTTCTAGAATGGTGCACAGTGATGCTTACACTATGCCAAGTGAATTTAGATACCATATACCAAGTTCAAGAGATCTAACAGTACCTACACAAACAATTAGAAGAAATTAATTAGAAACACAAACAATTACCCAATCAATGGCTACAAGCCAAATAATCAACAACAAATTTTCAACAAGCCACTATTCTTGAAAGCTAATTATAGTGTCTCTATGCAGCGATACATACTAGACAAGAAGACAAACCTTTTACGCGATGAATCTAGCTTTTGTCTCACGAGTACAAATGATCAGAGATTAGTTTGGAGACCATGTGGAAAATGTTATCAACACATCTTCATGAGAAAATGTCACACTAGCCATGCTTCCAGAATAATACAGTGAAAAGTCGTTAATTCGCACACCCATAATCCGGAATGATCTATAATCCGGACTTCAAAGCTACAAACTTTCTGCGCAGACGCATGCGCGTAAGACCCTTACGGCTGCGAATATGCATGTGCGCGTGCACAAAATACGTTTACGAATGCACGTTTAATGTGTAACGTACGGTATAAGCTAAGCTAAAATTATCTAATTCAGTTAATGTTGCACATTGCGTTGTTCCTTAATCTTCGAATTGGATTTGGCTTATTATTTTTTGCACACTGTTAGAGCAATTTTATAAAAGTAAGCTTGAACTTTCGATTATGTCAAATAGAATTTCTGATATATATTTACTAATATGTAAAAGATCTACAAAGTGAAAGTATGTTTCGAAAAGCATTAAACAAAAAGTGGAATTGCTGCAAAAAAATGGATAAAGGCATATCTTTTGTTTATCTAAACTTTAACATTTGTTTATCTAAACTTTGTTTATCTTTAACGCCGCGGCGCACAATTTATTGGAAGTTGGTCTGTCAGCACTATCCTTATCTTCAGGGCAGATGCTTTTATTTTATTTGGCTTATAATTCCTTACTAAATGTAGTATTTCATCTCGATGTACTCCGTCCTTGATACGATTTAAATCAAATTCCTCGTCATTATAATTTGCTTCCGATAGCGAAGAAAGTGACAGAGGTTATTGAAAACGAAAAAATTTCGATTCACAAATTAATCGGTATTCTCGACACAGCAATTATAGGACTTGAACAGCGGAACATTGTAGCTGAAGAAGAAATTATGTCTGTTTATAGAATTAAAGAGAATGTATTATCACATAAAAAACGAAGCAACTTAAACAACTTACATTGAAAGAAATGTTTAATAAAGTAAACAAATATTAAGCTTTTTTTTTTTTTTTTTTTTTTGTAAATTTTGATACCCTTTAGATCATAATTGTTCTTTATTTCATAAATTACGGTTTCATATTTTTAATTTTATAATTTCTGCATGCTATCTTACCAGATTTAAACTAATGATCTATAATCCGGAATCGCCGAAGTCCCAACGAGTCCGGATTAATGACTTTTGGCTGTAGTATGGGATGGCCTAATATATGGTAGGAAGACCTTTTAAGTCTTCTTCCAAATACACTGGCAGCTCCATGTTATGAAGCTCTGAGAAGGGAGCCAATGGTATGATCATTCATACAAGATATCTCAGGATCCATTTTTCAACATAAAAATGCTAGACTACATGCTGCTTATTAATCAGAATTATTAGTATACTATTTCTACTTCAATAGATTGATATTCTGCCCAGTTATGCATGTACCATTTATTGCACTGCAAATTCCTTTTATGCATAACATAAAATGTCACATAGAAGAATAACAATGCCCTATTTCAGGCATATCTGAAAGCTAATTGCCTAAAATTAATGTTTAAAGTCCATACCTTTCAAATATACTTTTAGAGCTTGTTGCTACTTTTTGTTTTGAAAATAGGCTTAGCAACTACCGGTTATTTTACGGACATTTTTGTGTTGTGAGTAAATTTTTTAGAATTTTTGAAAAATGGATGTATAACAAGTAAACAATGGGAGTTTTTTTTAAGTAAGCACAATAGAAATTTCAAGTAAGTGTATTTCTTAATGCATGGGATGCATTAGAAGTTATAGATCTTTTATGAAACCTGAAATTGCTACTAAAAATTAGGAAATAGAATAAAGGTAAAAAACTGCTAAAATCTTTGTTATTACATTAGGGAAGAAGCCTTTGACAATTATAATGAACTGTGAAAATTTTAGTTAAATAAAAATTAAATTGCGTGGTATAAACAGAAATGTGCAAACTCCATTTATTTAGAGCAACTTGAATTTCAGAACTACTGATGACACTGCTATGTATATCAGTAACATAAAAGTCTTTTATTCATTGTTTAGCTCAATCAGGAGAATGCATTTCAGAAAAGATGGTAATAATAATTATACAATGACTATAATAAATGAATGAAAATAGATATTTTCATGCTTGGGTTTTAATGCCTGAAATTTAAAGAACTAAACCTTGAACTTAGCTCAATAAAAATGGTAAAGTAAACTGATCATGGAATCAGTAATCTATATGTCAATAACTGTAATACAGTGCTTGTAGCTACTCAACTTAAAACTGCAGTAAAGGCAACTAAAGGAAATAACAGTTCAAATTTCACAGAAAAGAACTTTCTAAAATGTGAACTGTAGAGATTAGAATGACAGTACACATCTTGTTAAAATGAAAATGTCAAACACCCAAAACTATTATTATAGAAAACATGGTCAATTAATGATTGAAATGCTTTTACTGTGAAAAAACAGGCCACAGAATGAAGAACTGTTTTGTTTATAAGTAGAATTTAGAGAAAGTGACCCCTATAACTGAGAATGGGGATTTTTGGATTACTGATTTGGGAACAACTCATCAAATATGCTCCATTGAATATTTTTTTTATCATATAATGCTTTCGCCTAAAACCCTCAGAAATGGAATTTGCATGTATTCTAAAGGTATGGGTAAAATAAATGTTGAAATCTTGTTAATGGAAGGTGGAAATGTAGTGATCCTAAAAATGTATAATATATACCTGATAGTGATCAAAATACTTTTTTTCAAGGCTCAGCTTTAAGCCATAATTTTATTGAATATGCTTTTTAAAAAGTTCATGAACTCAGAACTGCAAATGAATGATTAGGTCATCAACATTAGAAGCATGCCCAGAAAGTACTAAAGAAACACAGAATTGAAGCTAACAGACGACATTTAAAAATATAACACATGGAAATGCAACAATATATTCTAAATAAAAAACAAATGAGCAAAAACTTGAAATTTATGGATAGCACAACTGTATATAGTAGATGAATACAACAGTAGACACAAAAGTTTATGCAGTATTAACCTGATGCATGTAGCTGCTACATTAGTTTCCTTTTAAGTACAAAATATTTTCTTTTATGACAATTCTATTACCTTACCTTCTTAAGGCATTTGATTTCAAAAAAGAGACTGTATAAAACAGTTGACCATCGATACATAGAGAAGTTTTCTTTGGGTTCTGCTTGCATGCACTGTTGAGAGAAATGTTCACAAATAAATATAAAATGCTTAACAGAAGATTAGTATCTAATACACTGGAATTCAAAAGTTAAGCAATAAATGGGAAAATTCTGCAAAATTAAGATTAGGCAGCTACAGAATTTGTGTACTTAACAGGTGTGGATATTTGGAAACTACCTTGCAGAAAAAATATTACATATACTGAAACATTTTATTAACAAAAAGGTTTTATGTATAAAAATGATGTTCCTACATCAAATTTCAAAAGGAAAACTGATTTTGCCACATTGTGAAAAATGAGCACACATCACCATTTGAATAATTATATATGAAAGGCAACAGCACATTCAGAAAGTGGTGAGTGACAGTCACAGGAATATGGCCCCTTTTTTAAATATTGTTTCTAAATTCCATACCTGTAAAACCAATAGCAAACAGAAGCAACTGCATCATGAGATCACCAGATGGATGTTTAAGGATCCTAGCTATCTGTTCTGGTTACAGTGCAGTAGAGAGATCACATTCTTGCTATACATGTTCCTTCATTTTTTGCAACTATAGTCTTGGTACTATCTTTATAGATGGTAATGCACAAGATTAAAGGGCTATCACTATCAGCCAGTAATTAGAATAGGATGGAATAGCCACTGAGATCACACGATTTGAATACCATCAAACATGCAAGGAACATGTTTAGAATTTGTTTCATTTCCTTCCGTGACTCTGCATGGGATTTTTATGAATTAAGAATATGCTCTATGAATGGGTATGAATATCCCAAATCACCAAAGATCTTATTTTTGGCAGGAGTTGATACTATACAGCATGTGTTTCCAACAGAGTTTATCAAAACTACAGTTCTCCATTAATACATTTTATTGTTTAATTATTTATTTTCTTTGAATTTCTCATTGCTAGCATCTCTCGTTTTACCCTATGATTTCCTTTGATCTCTTGTTTTACCCTATGATTCATGAAAGTACTTATGATTCAGTCTTATCCTATAATTCATGAAAGTTTCACTGAATTTGAATACACACTTGCTTTTTTATTCACTTTTTTTTCCCTTTGATGCTTAACTTCTGGACATAAGTGTACATGAAGATCTTATGATATAGTAGATGAATATAATATATTATTATTAAGATGACAGTCTTTAATTAAATGATAAAGTAAAACTATTCTGTAGTATTTATGCAAAGAACACCTAATTGACACCATTTTATGATTCATTTATTTCATTGTATGTGGATGTCAGCTTTAAGCTTCCAAGATGATATTTTCCTCTAGGCTTAATGTACTTTTTATTAAATGATTATATTTATATTAATTATCACACAAATTTGCAAGTCTGATTAGGTCATTCAAAACCTTGATTATTCACTGATTTTTTATAATTAAGATACACCTTTATAAGAGTTTAATTAAATATTATTGAAACATACTTTTTGGTGGGGGGAGGGAAGAAAAATACTTATATTTTCAAATTTTAATGAGTTAACGAATGATTTATCAATTACTAAAAATTAAAACATTATGTAAAATGTTTTTAATACTACGAGAATAAATTTCCTAAATATCTCAAAATATATACAAAGTGTTTCAAAAAATAAATTATAAACTTTCTGGAGAGGTAGACTACAACTAGACAAAGGAAAATCACACAGCAATGTAGGGTCGGACATACTTTCCTTATGCGGAAGTGGTGACACAAAACACAAGAAATGAAAGACAAGAAAAGGGTGAGAAAACATGTTTATTATGCTTAGTACAGCTAAAATGTTGGGAATGTTAAAATATTGCATTGGCCAGCAAGATCTCCAGACCTCCCCAGCATTGACTACTTCCTCTGGGGTTACAGCAAGACACTGGTGTACAAAACCTCCATTAACAGAGCTCAGGAACTTGTTGCATGCATCATGGCAGCTGCTGGAGAAGTCTGGGACATGCCTGGTATTTTCCAGAACATCAGATCTTTCATCCACAGGAGATGTGAGCCTGCATCATGGTTATGGGAAGTATTTTCACACACGTTTCGTGACAACGATTTTTTTTGTTCTTACTGTCTACTGTATTAAGCCAAATAAACAAGTTTTCTCACCCTGTTCATGTCCTTCCTTTCTTGTGTTTTGTGTTGTCACTACCATGTCAAGAAAGCATTTCCGAACATGCATTGCTATGTGATTTTCCATCATCTAGGAATACATTACCTCTTCTAAAAGTTTGTAGCCGATTAGCCGGAACACCCTCTATATATATACCTAAATAGATAGAGGAAGCAATAATTTCAGTATCATTCGAAAAACAAATTTACAGCCAAATAACTGAAACCGACTTTAATCAATAAGTTACCTACCCCCCCCCCCCAAAAAAAAAAAAAGAAAGAGAAGTTTCCAACATCAAAAAACTAAAAACCTTTTACTACAAACTTAAAATTTCTACTCCACCTGACTGAACAAAATGCTTTAATATTTCTTCTCTATATAAACTTTAACCTATATGCTTTAATAAGACATTGATTAAATTCAGATTTATAGCAAAAGGAACCAAAACTTATACGAAAAATACTGACTACTTATTTGTGATACAACTTAAAAAAATTAGTTCTTTTATTTTTAATTCAGATGGCCTAGATCACAGTTTCTGTTGGATTATAAAAAATAACCTCCCCGTTATTTCAGCAATTAAAAATATCAAAATTAAAGAAATTAACTACCATGATTTTGAAAACCTACATCATTCTTCTTCTAAAAGAAATTTATAGCAGGATGATACTAATTTAAAACTATTTGCCACTATCTAGAGATACATAGACGATGCTATTACTTTCAATAATTTTGTTTCTAATGAAAAATTTCAAACATACCCTTCTAGCTTTAAATGTAATAAAACAAATACAAGTCAACAGAAATTGATTTTCTTGATCTAAAAATTATTCAATACAATAAAATTAAAATGTTTAATAAAAGAAGAGAACTTTCAAACTTAATCTTTAGTGTATGTTGGTTATTTTTAGGCTATTAATAAATTAATAAATTAAATGTAATAAAACAAATACAAGTCAACAGAAATTGATTTTCTTGATCTAAAAATTATTCAATACAATAAAATTAAAATGTTTAATAAAAGAAGAGAACTTTCAAACTTAATCTTTAGTGTATGTTGGTTATTTTTAGGCTATTAATAAATTATGATGGACTTTTCTTAAAACTGTCAATAGAGTATGAAATTAGAGTTTTTTTAGATTTGAAGAACTGTATATTTTGTATTTAATTGTAAATTACTCTAATGTAAGTAACTTTGGTTACTTTCTTTTTAGTAACAAAAAGCCATTTAATTTCTAAAGCCCCCAATAATGCTGAAACTAGAAAATTAATTAATTATATATATAACAATAATAAGAATGAAAGAATAATCTTATTAAACTTCCTATACTTCAAATAACATTTCTGGACTGCGCTATTTTTAGATAAATCTATGTCGCATGGCTTGAGTAATGCTGATGACGTAGCTAATCGGGAACTTGAACTCAAACTTTTAGGAACTGAAACCTTTCGACCTAAAACAAAACATTCCACTTTGGTGAGCTGCCACATTGGATAAATGCGCATTTCACTTGTATCTCTGTTGCTACTTGGATACAATTTTCCTATCGCAATAGTATTAAAAAATTTAAATGTTCAAGAAATAGACACGATTAGAGTGCCAAGTAAACTGTGGCCACAAATGTCAATTTAAATAAAATTGGAATTTAATCTGCCTTGACTGCCCAGTTTCCTATTCATTTGGATTAGCATCTTACACAATCAAAATTCTTCCTCTTCAATATGGATCTATGTTCTACTCCAAAAATCACTGAGATATATTTCTATATCTCAGTTTTCCTACACCAGTACTTCTCTAATTTTGTACGTCTCAGCCTCTTTCTTATTACAATGAGCCAGTAGGAATGGATCTACAGTGCTTCGCAATCAGTATTTCTGCATCAAGCTGATTAATTTACTTCTTTTGTTTCACTGACTCCTGATGCAGCAAAAGATGTAAATTTTACTCCGCTTCTGATTTTGGAATAGTTTGCCCCCTTTTTCTTGCAGTTTGCCACTGTGTTTCTGGTATTCGGTTTCTGTATATACACATTCTGAATCAAATATAGGATGAATTTTTAATGTATTATTTTTTAATTTATTTTGCATTATTACCAACATACTTTAGCACAAAATTAGATTAGGATTTGAACTGCTTTTTATTTTGTATTTATTCATTGCATATATATATATATAACTTTAACTGTAATATATAGATATATAACTATATCACTTCATTTTCCTTGTATGTGACTGATGTTATTTCTACAGCATTACTACTGATGATTTTACTGAGATGTTTCCATCTGTACTATATGTATAAATCTGCACTTCTGCCTAACAGCAGTTCAATTTTTGTTCAATTCTCTATTCCATCAAGCATGTTCAAATAAAAATTAATTTAAATTTTTTAGTCTTTGCATACACAATTCTCCATCTCTAAAATAATTATTTAACAGCAGCAGAATTAACACTACTCAACCAAAGAAAAAAATTATTTTAAAATTTTTAACTAACTTTTCAATTTACAGAATTAGTTTACAATGAGGAGGGGGGGGGAAACGTATACTAAACTATATTACAAGATTTAATAATGAAATTTCAGTTAAAATGTAGAAAATAAATGATAATAAACCATATTTATTATATTTATACAAAATACTTTACTGAATAAAAAAAAAAAAAAAGGGGGGGGGGGAAAGACTTATGCTTATATATGAATAATATAATTTTTATGTTTAATTTTTCTTTTGTTTCTTTTCATTAATGCTTGAATACAGTTCTGTTAACTGAGTTTGTTTTTCACAAATATTTTTTAACATTTCATTAGATTTATTTAAATGATTAAAGTTTTTTGTAATTTCAGCAAGTTCATTTACTTTATTTTCAAGCACTTTAATTTCTCTTTCAAAGAAAGTTTTCTTTTCTTTTAGAAAATTCATCTGTTTATTCTGCTTTTTTTTTTTTTTTTTTTTTTTAATCTTGAACAATTTTTATTTTTGCCCCCTGCTCTTCCAAATATAACCAATTCTGTGAATGAGCTGATGAAGCTCCCTTTTTCTCTTTTGCAATTCATACACTGTAGATCGCATCAGCACATAATCACAAACTATGCACTGGGTAATGTACGGATTTTCTCTAACATTTTCGGTTTCTTTAATTTTATTGATACTAAATCCTTGTTCAACAGATGCTTGCCCATGGGTAAGAACAAAAATCATTTTAAAATGTTCCCTATAACTTGAAGTAATTTTCATCAATGAATGTGTGCAAAAAAGTATCTAATCTCATTTTCCTGACATCATAGGTTTTAAATTATGTAAGGTACGGCGGGACAACATTTTTGATGAAATCGGAATAGTCCAAAAGAATATTATAACATTCTTTTGCAATCTAACCATTCTGGAAAAATAAATCAATATAATTTTCATTTTCCTGTATGCTTTTGTGCTGTTTTGGGCCATATACTTTGGATCCATAGAACAGCATTTCAAATTAGTGAATAATTAACATTTCTTTATAAGCTTTTCAAGTAGTTGTAAAACAAAAGTTTGGGAATCGCATTTAAGAGAAAGATAATCTGTAGCTGCGATTTCTTTTTTGCAAGTGCTTATCAGCCCTAAACTAATTTCGCTTATTTCATTGACAATAAATACCTTTCTCAAAGAAACCAAAGTTACATAAATATTTCAGTGATGAATTGATTTTTAGTATGTAGTCTTCTTTTTATCATTTTGAAATGTTGCAAAAGTTGCTATACTAATTTTGTATAAATAAATAAAATTAAAAAAAAAAGGGTTCATCACTTTGTCTTTAATTGCATCTCTTATTACTTCATACAATTTTCAAGTTATTTTTACATATTTTCCACTAGTTAAAAACCTCAGATAAATACTTAACTAATTGAAACAAAGAAATGTTATAATATTAGATCATGTTTACCATAAAATGTGGTAAAAATGAAATCCAAGAAAGCTGTATATATATATATATATATATATATATCTAAAAAGAAAAGAAAGTCGCAGTAAGTGGTAATGGTCTTGCACTGCTAAAATGACTAATTACTGTTACAGCTACATTCAAATGTGATCCACAAATCTTTGTGATTCTGTGATTTCTCAGAACAAGCATAGCTGTATAACAAAAATACCTCACATAGCATTCTTATAATTATTAAAAATTACAGTTTAATTTAGAAGTAGTGAGAGCAAATTCAAAAGTTTTGAGAAATAAAACCCTATTCTCAACATCTGAGGTAAGAAAAAAATATTGAAAGAGAAGTTATAGTACTGAGACATAAAATAGCCTAAACTACAAAATTATACTTGAAATTTCACTTTCTAGAAATTACAGTTAATATTGGTTTTTCATTTCCTTGAAAACCATAATTTATTTAATTACTTAAATTCATTCAAACTTGCAGCAATTTTATTAGTATTGTTTTATACTGAGTGGCCATAATATAGAGACATTCCTAATAATCTACTCGTCCACACTAATTTTGTTCAGATTAAGCGACAGGATTTTCAAGTTCTGAAGTGATCTTTTCGCTTTGTCTTAGGAAAACTGAATCAGGGCCGGATTTATATATAAGCTATATAAGCTATAGCTTAGTGCCCTCACTTTCTTGGGGGCCTGCCAAAAAATTAAAATGTAGTATAAATAATATTAAAATATATTATAACAGACTTATAAAGGGCCTCATATCTCAAATAGCTTAGGGCCTTATCAAGTCTAAATCTGGCTCTGAACTGAATAGAATTGAGGTCCGAGGGTTGAGCTGACATGGAAGCAATATGAACTTGAAAGCATGCTCTTAAACAAACCAATTTGATGTTTCCAGTAAGCTTCTACATATGCTAAAAGCTGTTTCCAGACATATCCAAAGGACTCCCAACAGTTAAGGAAAACAGTTATTTATTTTCATACTACTTGCAATGATAACTAGTTCTTTTCAAGAGCAATTTCTAGCTGTTATGTCACTGGCAGACTGGTCCACATGAAACAAAAAACGGTCTTTCTAATATTCTGGCTGCTCAGCATATGTATATAGTATTTACAACTTTTTAGTTTCTGTTCTGTTTAAAATTTTTAGACTATTTTACTTACATTTAAATCATTCTGTAAACCTGTGACATATAGTAATATAAAATTGTTTATTAGATTAAGATTGTACACTTTTAGAAGAAAACATGGATCTGAAGTAAAATTGCAGAATAAGCACATGCACATACACACACACACATATACATAGATAGACAGAGATCAATTTTGTTACCTGATACTCTGCTTTAGACAACATCAGAAATAATTCACAACGTCCATATGAAAACAACGAAGACTGTGCAGGTAAAGCAGTAAGTAAGTACCGCAGAAACTTAATACCCCTTTTATTTGATATTATAGAAAAAAGTCGAAATGGAACACCTAAAAAATTGTTTTTCCTCATATCTTATTTTATACCTTACATAAAACATGCAACATAATTAATTCACTTAAAATTTAAAAATATCTACTTTGAATGAAAGTATCATCAGTTTATAAATTTTTTACATTTTTAGACTTCACATGAAAGTTTATAAATATACCAAATAATTTCTAAAATTTAATTAGTTATACCCATTCAACAACAAACATTAACTGATTAACTCTGCTTTGAAAATTAACTGATTTTACTAAAAAAAGACATTACTGAGGTTACTATATAATCAGAAAGAATGCTGTCATTACACATTTCTTATTTTGTTAATAATTAGATTACTGAAATGGTAGTGTGGTTGTCTTATGTTCAGCTGCATGTGGCGCAGTACAGTAGACAACTAAAAATCTATTAACTTATATTCTATGCAGCCTATTAGATATCGACAGTGAACTGTTGATGGTTTTGTCAACTTTCAGCAGCATTTCTCTCTCTCTGTATTGAAACAGGTTGCCATATTTTATAAAATACCACTTGCATAACTGTCACCCAAAACTGCTTAACTTGTACCAATTAATTGAAGAATAAGCATATGCTGTTTCATTCGAGCAAGATTACAAAAACTGAAATTTTTGTATTAATCAATGGGCAGCAGATATTTAGGATAGCTATTTCAGGCTATATTTTGTGCAAATATTAACATTTGATAACATGTTAGACAGATACAAGAATTAAAATTTTTCATTATGAACTAGAACTTATAACATAGCACTTTTTTAACAAAAAGAATTTTGGAAAAAAAAAGTCAATCTGAACAGATCAAGAAAAGTTTCTTAAGTTGCTGTCAGGGAAAAGGGACTCAAAATTAGAACATCCCAAGTTTTAAAACAAACTATTGTAATCCTGTGGTTGAAAAATATTTAAAAAAAAAAAAAAAAAAAAAAAAACATAATATATTTTCCTATATAAAAATCAAAAGAAATTAATTGTACTTTTATTTATTTATTTACTAGTCCTTTTTTCCCTCCAGTCTAAATCTAAAGATTTTACATTTTTATTACAACCCGAAATCCAAGCATCGCATCTTCGTATTGCATAGATTAAAAAAAAAAAAAAAAAAAAAAAAACAGTATATAAATCTAATGAAAAATCATCAGCTCTAACTAAACTCAATTTTATAAATAACACAGGTAAGAAAATACAAACAATAAATACATACGATTCTTTAAAATATTTTTTTTCATTGTATGGTTTTGAATCATATTGTTATCACTATTATACACAATAAAATCTACAAAAATTCAGAAGTAAATGGTTTTCATGTAGTTGTTTTTGATGAAATGAATAACAAATAACCATGCATGGTCATCGACTCATCATTGGTTGCAAAACAAAATTACATAAGCTTCTTCCAATATTAATGCTATAAGAGGTGATTCCAAGCCAAAAAGTAAGATGATCAAACAGAAAACTAGAAATGGGACAAATCTTAAATTTTCTCAAATCTGAGTCTTGAAAGGTTTTTGAACATCCTGAATACTTCGTGTAATAATAATAATAAGATGAAGAAGAAGAGGAAAAACCTTAACTTAATATGCAATAATAAATTAATTAGAGCAAAACTTAAAATGTGCATTTCTTAAAACATTTTTTAAAAAAATATATCTGTATTTATCAAATGATATTTCCCAAAATATAATTAAAATTCTTGACCTCTTTTTAGCATAATTTTACAGGAAGAATTAATGGTTCATATTTTTTAAAAGTTTTGAGATTCTTTTCAAATCCAAGCAAATGTACAGATTTGAGAATGATTTCAAGAGTAATGGAGAAAAATACTAAATATGGAATGGTAAATTTTCTAGTGCTATACGCTGAAAACTTTTAGGATACATGATGATTTTGGTAATCAAAGTACTACTGAAATAGCAATAACTGCTTTTTCTTTTAATGAATGTCTATCAGATAACACTAAAACTAATTTTCCTAACGTTTTGAGTTAAAGTATTTCAATGATTTTTTTAGTTAAGGATTCAAAAGATTCAAATGAAAAAAGAATAGATTCAAGTTTTGAATTGAAATCCTTTTCCAAGATTTGAATGTCTTTTCTCTAATGAAATCTAATTCAGACATCAATATTTTGATGCTTTCCCATTTTTTATAATTTGATCTCATCATGCAATTCCTTCATAGGAAATGAAATCTGCATTCTTCACAGACTCGACCAAAGCTGGTTTACATTTAATTTTCATTGGAAAAAACAAATTTTTTTTTTTTTTTTTTTTTACATCTAAATAGCTATTTGAAACAACTAGATCCCTCAAAGTATCCTAAAGCATGAAGACTTACATTCTTGATTTAACATTTACCACTTAACACGGTGAGCGCGGCGTCGGTCCCCAGTGAACTTTCCGTGCAGCCGGCGTCGGTCCCTGGAATTTTCGTTTGTCTGGCACCGGTCCACAGGACCGACAGTATTAAAGTTAAAAAATAAATATAGTCTCAATGAAATGAGATCAAATTTAGTTTTAATGAAATGTATTGAAACATTCTAAACAAAAATACGGCTTAGCTCGCTGTTGGCTGAACGGAAAGGACAGTAAATTTGACGCCACACTCAACGTGTTAAAAGAGCACAATTCAAAATAAAATAGTAGGGCTTTGTGAATCTCATATTTGACATGAGTGGTGTACTATGATATATAATATGAATAGGACACAGATTTCTGAAAAATTCAAAAAACTTTTTATTTTCTATTTAAGTTAAACTAACTTTTACCAAGTTCTTTTCATGCTCATAATATTGCAATACTATGAATAATTATAACAATCTCCTAGGGTCAGAAGTGATTTTCTTTTTTTTTAATATATGATCTCACCCCCCAAAAACTTTACTGATTATGAGAGAATTAATTACCTTTCAGAAAGGAAAGACAGTAGTAAACAGTTGAAAAGATAACAAACACATCTTTTTGTAAAATCTGTTCTTTATGATGAAATCACTAAATTTATAATTTAAAATTCCAGGAGTTGAGAAACCAAAAATCATACATAATACAATAATGAGGGATATACACTGCTTACATCAGCAATCTGGTTAGTATGATGTTAAAAGAACTCATATGAAGATAGTATTATATACTTTATTAAACAAAATGTAGTTACAATATATGTTGGTTACCCAGTATTTATCGATATAGTGCCAAAAATGCCACCCATAATTTTGATTCTTGCATGTATTTGACAACCCTAAAATATTTCTGTAATCTTCAAAAAAGATGAGAATTTTGTTTCTTTTTCTTTTCTTTTCTAGTTATTGTTCTAGTTTTCTTTGGGAGGGGATAATGAAAGGTGGAGTTGGCTTCTTTTTTATTTCAATATATCAACCTCAACTTGAGTTTGGCATCCACACACAAATAATACAATGTGTCTAAGTATCAACAGAGGGGAGGAATAAGCAGCAACATGGAACAATTCATTATCATTTATCTTTTTACTTGTTAGGTTGATACAGATATGGAAGTAGAGACAAATTGCAGAGTATAATAATCTGTTTGATGTCACTTTGAATGTGATTTTCAGAATCAGATTTTTAACATTGCACCAGAGGGTTTTTTGAAACACTCACTACCAACTATGAGTACACTAGTTACACTAGCAACATACTCATAGTTAGCAAAACAAGTTTATGTCAGCTATGAGATAGCTCATTACTGACTGCTATACTTGAATCACCAAGTACGAGTATTGCCATGGCAAATGCTTGCAGTGTTTAAGCGTTTAGCATATAGGAATGAACTAATACACTTGGTGAACTGAAATGAATCATTTATTTCTCAAAATGTAGATACAATTAACTAAATGTTAAAAATTCAAATCCATTTATTGGGGAGAGTCATTATTTACTTGGGAGATCTTATAAATAGTCTGCTCAAATTCTTATTCAGCAATTCTTGGAATATAATGCATTACATGTGCAGGAGTTTTGCATAAATACGCAGGAGAGATGAGTATTATTTATCTAGTCATCTTGTATTTGATACAGGGAGCAAAAATATTATATGCGAACTATGAGTATACCCAAGTGAATTTCTTTACTGCTAAAAGTAATCTGCCATATCTATAGTTAAATAACAATAAAAAAATCAAAAGTATGAAAATGTATAAAGGGTCATGGCACATGTGAACAGACTCATTCATTTCAGCTTTGACAGTGGCTGTCTTAAGTTTTTTAATGCTCTTGATGAGCTCACAGTTTAACAGTATGCTTTTGAATTCACTCCAGCTAACACGACTTCTTTTTTACTTTTATTATTAAATATTGCATTCTTCTCAGTTACACCACATAAAATTCAATAGTGAAATCATAAGACTTTTAACATCAGAAAATTTTTAGAATTTCTGATTGAGTGTTAAGTGTTGCTACACTTTTTTCAGTCTTTCTTGAGTTCATCATGTCAATGTTAAGTTTTCTTAACAAGACGAACTACATTTCTTTTTGTCTTTTTAACATTATTACTAAAAATTACTTTCTTCACATTTATTCTACATAAAATTTAACACTAAAATCAAAAAATTTTTTAAAGTAGCACATGTTTAGAATTCCCAATACAGTGTTAAATAATGCCGTTAATTTTTTTCCAGTTTTTTCTCAGTTCTTGATACCAATGTTTAGTTTTCTTAATAAGATGACTTACAGAAAATTTTTTTTTTTGTCTTTTTAAACATTACATTTATGCCACCTAAAATTTAGCAACAAAATCACAAAATATAGAAACAGCACATCTTTAGAATTAATGATACAGTGTTTTTTTTTCTTTTTTTTACATTTAATGTACCTTTTTTAATATTTGCCATATTATTTCTTTAAAAGTAATACATTGTGATATCATTTGGTAGCAACATACTCTTATTTGAAAAGTAATACAGACAAAAAACGTGAGGACTGAAATTAACAGCCATTCATCACCAAAAGACACCTAGAGATTGCTTGCAGTGTATTGAAAGATACTAGATAACCAATAATGCAGGTACTTAAAGCTCTACCCAGTATCAAAAACTGAATCGAAATATAAAAATCAAATTTGGAATTCAGATTTAAATTAGCACACAGAACCTAGAGAATTAAACATATACAAAAATAAAACAGGGTCACCTTAAAGTCTAACATTTGAAAATCCAGTAATTCATAGAATGACATAAAAATTGACACAACGCTTGAAATGACATAGGGTTTTATTTAAAGGGGAAAAAAAGGCTGACATATGGCACTGGGCAGCAAAATGTCAGTGATGCTGTATGAGAATCATGTATGAAATGAGTTGTAGTGAGACAGGGAATCAGTCTCTTCATTACTTTGTCACTTTTCTATCCTTGCCTCCGGGTGTTGGTATGGTTTCATGTGGATTTATCACATCAATCGTGATTGGACCCTTTTTCTTCAAGGAAACACGTGGTTCTGCTATTCAAACTGTCAGTGTGACATGTGCGAGGTACATTAATGTGTTGCAGAATCACATCATCCCTAGTCTAGCTGATAAACACTGTTGGGAGGTATGACTTTTACGCAGGATGGCGCTCTATATTGTTACACGACATTTTGCCACCCCATATTGCTATATGTGTGAAAGATCGTTTGATGAGGATCACATGCTGAACCACCACTTCCATCATGCTTGGCCTCTCAGGTCTCAGATCTTAATTCATGTGATTATTGGTTGTGGGTTACTTTAAATCGCAAGTCTACTGCAATCGTCCGACCTCATTAGGGATGCATCCAATTGCAATTTTTCACCATACCTACAATATGATTCATAGTGCTGTTCACAACACTGTTCCTCCACTGCAGGTTTTGTTGATGAATGATGGCCAACACGTTGAAAATTTGTTACAAAGAACACAGTCTTTGCTAAAAATCAATTGTTATGCTAATTATGCCTTTTATTATCATATAAAATGCCATCTGTTAGCTGTTTTAAGACCCTTTTTTTTTTTTTGCTTTTGCTTTCAATAAAATTCCATGACATTTCAAGCATGTATGCCATATTTAAAATTTAAAATGTACTGCAGGCTATTAAAAATTCAAATCAATATTCAATCAAAATTCTATTAAAAATACAAATAGCCATCTTTTCAAAAACTTATTCTATGGTATCACTGAAAATAAGTACCATAAACATAAAAGAGAGGAGAGCAGTACTTAAAAGTGTACACTGTGCAAAAAATAAGGGACAGTACTATATCTCCCCTTCTATTGGGCAGATTAATGAAATTGAAATTATGTTTTTCATGTCTCGAAAGTGCAACCTAGGATACATATTAGATTTATATATAGAATTGTTCTAATATAGGTATTTTGACACAAAATTGGACCTTTTTCTGAAATGTCATGTCAATTTTTTTTCAATATTTCAATTCTATGACTCAAATTATGCCTAGATATTAAATTTTGTAAAATTTATCCTGGGGCATTTTGTTCAGTTTGCTATAAATTAAGAATAACACTTAGTGAACTTCTTAATTTATAGCAACCTGTTTTCCTTTGCTTTTTTTCATATTACACGAGTGGAAAATGTCATTGTTCATACTTTCAAATAAATTTAACAAAGTGCATAAACCACATTTGGCATTATTATCGCTTATAATGAATATGCTAACATTTTATAGGTTATAATACACAGTTTTTTCCAAAAAGTTTATAAGAATTATTGAACAATACAAATTTTATAAAGAAATCATAAAAAAAAAAAAAAGGCCGAATTTTATTTGAATGAACCTAAATTTTGAAATGTGAAAGGAAGAATCAAATAAGTTTACTAAAAAAAGGGATATTAATAAATATATATATAGCATTCAATTAACACAAAAAAGCTAATTTTTTTAAAAACACCTCATGTCATTTTTTACAAAACTGGCAGTTTGGCATAATTTGAGTCGAAGTATGCGGGAAAAAATGGCATGTCATTTCAGAAAAAGTCTGATTTTATGTCAAAATACCTATATTAGAATGATGCTATATATAAATCTAATACATATCCTAAGTCGTGCTTTCGAGACATGAAAAATGCAAATTGAATAATTTAATTGGCCCAGTAGAATGAAAGATATAGAATTGCCCCCTTTTTTTGTGAAGTGTACCTGAGTAAATACGTGTTGATTACGATAACTACCAAAGGGATTTAAAGAAATATATAATTGCTACAATTTGCCAGTCATCACAAATTAATATTCACTTGAATATCCATAGCACAAAATGAAATGTTTTAATAAAAACCGTTTAGGTTTAAAACATGTCAATAAAATTTTAATAAATGATACATAAAAGTCATAAATTTAAAAATAGTGATAAGAAATAAAAAAGTACAAAGAAAAGATATTTATCAATAATTATATAAAATATAATGGTACTTATGTATTAACACTACCGCAGCTGCAGATTTGGCGGTTTAAGTGAAGCCAATCTACACCTAAAATTTTTGCGACAAATCATAAATTAAAACACTTTATATTTAAAATCAAAGTAATCAATCAGATTTCGGTGGAAAATGGGCGGATACAGTGTTTAACATAGATTCAAAACAGTCTCTATTTTCTTTGACCTGATGCTGTTGCCATATGAACTCTGCTAAATAAGATTCTAAATGATGTCTCGCTGTCCCCCTATGTCTCTTGTTCCTCCATTTAGCACTGCCCCACATTCTCTCCTCGACTGTCAGTATATGAACTCCTGTATCAGGATCAATAAAATTGTATTTATGATTAACTTTAACATGGACTACTCTTTTTGTTTGTCTTTTCTTAAGTCCCACTTGCTGATCACACTGTCTTAAATTACATTTCTAAAATGTACACTTTCCAAAATAAAGTTTCATATCATGCGAATTGTTACATTTTCATTTTTTTGGTAAAATATTTCGCTCCTGAAAAAATAAAATTGCATCTTCTTCTGTGTTTGGCAAATCTCAAAGACGCATTTTCGTAGCACAAAAAAATGGTGTGAAAAATCAGCAAACAACAAGGCGAAAAGGAATCCAAAGGATTAACTGCATGCGAACAACAGGATTGCTCTTTATTGGCACATCAGCACAACTTCTGCTGCAGTGCCGTTAACACGTTAAGTACCAATATAATTTAACCTATATTACATTTCATGCACAATGAGCATGCACAAAAAAACTGAGGAGAGAATCTTTCTTCATATGGATGTTATTTTTATGTTATTTGATTAGCTAATAATAATCAGAATGAAATCCTTTGCAAGAATTCATAATTGATTTTACAATTTAACATGAGCAACATTATGTTTTTAATATGTCACATGTACTTTAAATAAGTTTAAATTCACATTTTATTTATACATCTTATAAAAAAGATTTGAATAAAAATTTAAATGCTGTAATTCTATTTGGTGAAGGGATGCGGAGTAATAATTACCACACATCCCTTTCCCCCTAAAAATAAACTCACCATTACTATAAGAACAGTTTGGAATTCCTTTAAAGAATTTTTCATATTCATTAGATTCATCATATGGCATACGGGCATCTAAAGAAGGCAAAAGCATCAGATTTTCCTTAATAATTTCAAAATTAGAGTAAGTATTTGACAAAATCTGTAAAAGAATAAGTAACGAATTTATGTTGTGGCTAATTTTTTTAGAAAGTAGAGAGTTTACATAGAAAAATAAATATTCATTAGTATTAAAAAATGGGACATACACATACAAATAACTCTACAGACACAATTCCCAGATATGCTTATCAATACTGAAAAGACAAATATTACTAAAGAGTTTCATTTAAATATTACCAAAGAATTGTAGATTCATTCAAATATTAAAGAATACATTTTATACTTTATTTTAAATTCAGCATAGTTGCTAACCATAAAAAATGTACTTCTCTAATGGCACTATAATAACATTAATTAATTTTTAGCCAAGATACAGTTATTTGTTACCAAGTCACAATAACCAATAATTAAGTAAGAAAAAATTGTAGAAAATTTATATTCATTTAACATTTCAGAGTTCTAATAATATATGAACTGATTAAATTCAAATTTTTCTGAAATTAATTTTTCTTCTACTCCATTTTGTAGGATGGTATTATATAAAGCAAATTTTATGTACAATAATAAAACAAAGAGCTAGTATGTATATGTGTCTCACAGTGCAGAGATACAATGATCTAAAGCCTCGAAATCTGCATACAGATTTTCAAAAGAAGGTCCATGTGCATCTTAAAGTTACTCCCCAAAAAATTCAATACACATTTTTTTAATTAAATTTTTATTGAACTCATATTTTTAACCAGTTTTCCCCACATAACTATACAAGTAATCACTAAAAAACAGACTACAAAACAATCTAAAGCTTATTTTGAATCGGCTGTATAATTAATTATGCTGATAATTTTTTTTATCCCTAGATAATGAATAACTTCAACTTCTAACACTGAAAAATATATCATCTATAATGTCCTGAAATTTCTGCAGCTTTGAATACTAACATTTAACTCTCTTGAAAGAAATAACAATAATAATAATAAAGAAAATTTCTAAAAAATTTCTTAATTTCAAAGGCTAACAGGAGGAATGATTGTACACATATTAGGGAAGCTACAGTAGCATTTTTGACCCCAATAAAAATTCCTTTTTGACAGGAATATTTTTTATTTTATTTATTTATTTATTTTTTTATTTTTGTACATTCAAAAGTTTAAAAAGTATATCATGTATTTAGGAGGCCCACCAGCGGCCGAGCGGTAAAGTCGCTGAACACTGGTAGTTCGGTCCGAGGTTCGAATCCCGCGAACGGGCTGGCTGCATGGGCGTTTTCGTGGTTTTCCCCATGTGTAACGTGTATATGAGCCAGTTTCCCTTAGAAAGTCATCCATGAAGGCATCTCTCCCTTTAGGCAGATAGCCCTCGTGTGCTTTGCCATAATTAAATACACCAACACCATGTATTTAGGCAATGTTTACACACTTTATATACTGTTTCTAAAAAAAAAAAAAAAAAATACCTTAACATGTTTACTGTAGTCTTATTTGCTAGCATATAAGAGCCATGTTGCAACTCAACTCTTGCTGAGATCTGACGGCTGAGTGACGTCATCTCGAACTATGAACTCTTGCTTAGAGATCACGAGAATTCGGAACTGAGAGCGAAAATTTAAACCTTTTTCATTTTGTAAATATTCTGTAACCGTTTACGTCTTCATTAAATATGTTTGTGTAAAGAAAGTATTTATCATTTATGGATTATACCCTTCAAGATTTTGCAGATATTCGCAGAGGAACTTCAGCCCTGTGGCCCTGGCAGAAACCATTGGAACAAGGTAAGCAGTTTTGTTTTACCTTGATTAATTAGTTAGAAGTAACGATAACGATAAGGATATAAATAATAATATTGGTGTGCCATAACGTGGGGACATTGGGTTGAATTTGAACTGAAATTTAATAGATTTTGCTTAAGCATAAACATGGATTTAGAAAAATTAAAAAAGAAACAATCTGCTATAAGAGCGGTAGTTACAAGGCTGGTAAATAAGATAGAAACAGAAATTGCTAATGAGGGGGATAAAAATGTAATTGAAGAAACGGTTGCTTAGTTAATTAGTAAAGAAGAACTAATCTTAGCGGATAATGGTATTGAAGCTTTAATTGATGTAACAAATTTAGAAGATGAAATAATGTCTAGAGAAGAGTATAAAAGTAAAATTATTATTTGGAAATTACGCGCGAAAAGATATTTAGATGCTAATCCACATAGCGCTAATTCTACTTCATGTGGAAATGTCACTGAATCGCAGAACAAAATTAAACTCCCGAAATTGGCCCTGGAAACATTTTCAGGAAAGGACGTGTGCAGTTGGCCTGGGTTTTGGGCACGGTTTGAGACAGCTGTACACGAAAACGAAAGTCTGCATGCAGTAGATAAATTTAACTATTTAAAGTCAATTCTTACTTCCGATGCAGAAACTGCAATACAAGGGTTGATATTAACAGCGGAGAATTACGAGAAGGCTGTGAAAATATTAAAAGATTGCTTCGGACACAAAGAACTAATAATAGATACCCACATGAACAATTTATCAACTCTGACTCCGGTTAAAAGATCTTGCGATGTGACAGCACTTCGAAAATTATATGATCGTTGTGAAGTACAAATTAGAGAATTAGATTCGTGTAATATTTTACCGGATTCATACAGTACCTTATTGTATCTGATATTAATAAAAGTAATTCCGAATGATTTAGCACTAGAATTTAATAGGAAATATATGAATATGATAACCAGACAAAATTACAAATTTGCTAAATTTTTTAAGAAAAGAAATAGAAAGTCGAGAACGTACAGGATTTTTAGTTAAGCCAACAGATTCTGAAGTCACTGAAAAAAAATCCCATTTTGAAAATAAGTGGCACTTTCGAGAACGTTTTCGAGACAGCAAAAGAAATCGGGATTATAATAAGGGTAGAATTCCTTCAGCGTCAGCATTAAACACATCACTATCTAATAGCTGTTTATTCTGCTCTGAAAATCATACGTAAGAATCATGTCAAAAAACTGTGCCAGAGAAAAAGGAAGAGTTAAAGCGAAGTGGACGTTGTTTCGTGTGTCTCAAAAGATACCATTTAGCGAGGATGTGCAAATCAAAACTAACTTGTGGTATTTGCGATCGGCGACATCATACATTGATACACTCTGATGAAATGAATGCATCAGACAAGAGCCCCGTCCAAGGGGCAATAGTCTCATCTGTTTCCGATTGCGCAACAGCAAATCACTCATTTCTTCTGACAGCACGAGCTGAAATTATAAACACAGGCAATTGTCGCCAGCAAAGCGTTTGCTTGTTGTTTGATTTAGGATCGCAGCAAACATTTATTAGAGAGGACATCTGTAAGAAATTAAAACTTCCCGTTATTGGAGAAGACAAAATAAAAATATTCTCTTTCGGTTGCACGACGTCTGAAGCGCAGAATGTTAAAAAAACCAGTCTCCTTTTGCGTAATTCGAAGTATCGATATGAAATCAAAATAGAAGCTTTAAGTATTCCTGTCATTAATGGATCACATATTCATTCCCCTAGAAATGAAATAGGTAATCTTATTAAAAAACAGGGCATACAACTTTCCGATGAATGGGGACAAGGGAATAAACCGCCGAAAATTTCTTTGCTGATAGGAGCGGATTTTTATTGGAAAATAGTTACGGGTAAGGTTCACAGACTGTCTAATTCCTTAGTAGCGGGTGAAACAAAATTGGGTTGGACCATTAGTGGAACAGAAAGGGCTTACGGAATTTTCCCAAGCAATGTGAATACTATGAAGGTTGTGGTTAATAATAATAAAGATACACAGAACGAATCACTGTCTAGTTTGCAGAAGAATCTCTGGGAGCTCGATTCTATGGGGATAAATTATGATTCGGATAAGGAACTCGAATTAGAAGATAATTTAGTTTTCGATATCAAAAGATCTGTGAAATTTGAAAACAATCGTTATATTGTTCGTCTTCCCTGGAATCATAATTCAAATGAGCTTGGAGATAATCTGGAGATTGCTAAAATTAGATTTAAGAGTTTAAGTCGTAGATTTCAGAATAATCAGCAGTTCTAAGACAGATATCGCGATAAAATTGTAATTGATAAATACTTAACAGAAGGAATCTCCGAAGACGCTAACATTGAAATTGGACCAAAAACGTATTTTATGCCACATCAAGCCGTTACAAGACAAAACAAGGAAACTACAAAACTCCGTGTGGTTTTTGACGCTTCGTCACATGTGGAGAATTGTTTGTCATTAAATGACTGTTTACATTGAGGTCTCAAGATGTGTCCACACATACTGGAATTGCTCCTTAAGTTCCGTCAAAATTGAATTGTGTTTACAGCTGACATCAAACAAGCATTTTTGCAGATTTCTCTTGCTGATGAAGACAGAAACGCAGTCAAGTTTCTATGGAACGATGGTGAACTAAATGGAACTAAAATAAAGGCTTTCGTATAACAAGGGTAATTTTTGGAGCAACATCTAGTCCGTTTCTTCTCAGAGCAACATCTTAATGTACACGCTGACAAATACAAGTTACAGTATCCGAACGTATTTTCCATGCTAACTGAAAATATGTATGTTGACGACTTAATCGCTGGAGCAGATGAAGAATCAGAAGCATTCGAGGAATCGGAACATATTAAACGCATACTGAAAGAAGGTGGATTTAACATGCGGAAGTGGAAAACGAATGAAACGAATTTACAAAGGGTATGGGATACATATGGAATAAGTCAAATGATACATTTTTGATAGAAATTAAAGATTTGGTAAAAGATGCCAAAAGGATAGATAACATACCCACTAAAAGAAAAATCTTGAGATTTGTAGGACGTTTCTTTGATCCACTGGGGTTTTTAAATCCATACACCATTCGGGCTAGGATTTTATTACAAGATTTATGGGAACAAAAGATAGCATGGGACACTGAAATACCAGAAAATCTCAGAAAGAATTGGCAAAGCAGGTGTGATGAATTAGCTCATATTTCTAGTTTGGAAATACCAAGACATCAGTTTGCAGGTGCTGGGAAAAGGGATATAAAGGAAGGTCTACAGTTACACTGTTTCACAGATGCGAGTCAGAAGGCCTATGGGGCTGTTCTGTATTTTCGTTATTCGAAAAATGGAGTCATTCATACAAGTTTCATTACATCAAAATCACGAGTAACACCTTTGAAAAAATTATCACTTCCCAGATTGGAATTGATGGGTGCTTTGATAGGCTCCCGCTTGTCAAAATACATCCAAAAGAAACTTCGGACATTGATTTAATTGTATATATATGGACTGATTCTAGTATAACGTTACACTGGATTCGAAGTGATGTGAAAAGGTGGAAGCCATTCGTTCAGAACAGAGTGAAGGAAATACAGAAGAATTCAGATGTCTTGAACTAGAGATATACGCCTGGTGAACATAATCCAGCTGATTTGCTAACTAGATGTGAAAATGTCAAACATCTGAAGCAGAATAGCATATGGTGGGAAGGGCCCACTTGGTTAAAGGAAGAAATGGAACACTGGCTAAAACCGAATTTATGTTCCACAAAGAACATTGAAGATTCCAACAAGGAACTAAGAAAAACATCAAAGGAAGTTTTCATAAATGCATGCGTTACCGAACCTTCTGAAGATTTATTTAAAACCCAAAATTACAGCAATTTACATCGAATTTACCAAATTACTGGGAGGTGTTTAAGGTTCATCAACAATGTTAAAAATACCTCGAAATTATCAGGATGTTTGCAGGTTACCGAATTGGAAATGGCAGAAACTTATTGGACCAAACGTGTTCAGGAGCGAAATTTCATAAATGAAATACGGGCATTGAAGAATAATGAGGAATTAAGTTCAGAATCAAAACTGAAGTCCCTCAGTCCATTTGTAGACGAAAGTGGTGTAATTCGTGTTGATAGATGATTAGAAAATTCAAATTTGGAATACAAACAAGCACATCAAATCATGTTGCCTGACAAAGATCATTTGACTGATTTAATTATTCTTCACAGTCATCAGGTGGTAGGGCACGGAGGAATAGCAGATACTTTAAATCAGATAAGAGATAAATTTTGGTTGCTGAAGTCTCGTCGAAAAATTAAAAGTGTTCTGTACAATTGCAATGTCTGCAACATATTTCGAACGAAACCTGTCATGCAAGATATGGCACCTCTCCCACCAGACAGATGCCGAGAAGCCTTTCTATTTGAGAACTCCGGAATAGATTACGTTGGTCCACTGTACGTCAAAGGTGGAAAAGAATTATCTAAGACATACGTTTTACTGTTTACCTGTGCTGTAACTAGAGCCGTGCATTTAGAACTTACGGCTGACCTTTCCACAGAAAAATTTTTGCTTACATTTAGATGGTTCATAGCGAGAAGAGGTTTGTGCCGAATAGTGTATACCGATAATGCCAAAACCTTTAAAAGAGCGAAAAAAGAATTAGAGCTATTGAACGAGGTGATGAAAAGCAATGAAGTTCAAAACGAATTCTCTAAGCAAGAATCAAATGGAAATTTATAGTTGAGAGGACAGCATGGTGGGGAGGCTTTTGGGAGCGTATAGTTCAATCTCTGAAAGCTCTTCTGAAGAGAATCTTAAGCAAATCATCCTTAACATTCAGGGAATTAGAGACAGTCATAACAGAAGTGGAAGCTATATTGAACTCCAGACCTTTAACATTTACATACTCGGATCTAGGAGAGCCAGAATCTTTGACCCCTGGTCACTTCTTAATAGGAAGACGATTACTATCATTGCCACAAGGAAGCTCTAAATTAACTTCAACAAAGGAGAGTCTTACACGTTGATTTAGACATCAACAGATACTGGTAGAAAGAATCTGGCAAAAATGGAGGCAGGATTATTTGATGAATTTAAAATCTGCTCATCATTCCAAACTGGCGAAAACAGGAATCTGTTTGAAGAAAGGAGCTATTGTATTAGTGTATGAAGATAAAATTCCACGGCTGATGTGGAAGATGGGCATCGTAATGAAAGTCTTTCCTGGGAGAGATGGCAAGGTGAGAGCCTGTGCTGTCCGCTTGCCAAATGGCCATACGATTAAAAGACTAGTGCAACTACTATATCCAGTGGAGCTGGAATGTAATAAGGACAATTACAGCAATTGTCCTTTTGGGCGAAAGGATGTTGCAACTCAACTCTTGCTGAAATCCGATGGCTGAGTGACGTCATCTCAAACTATGAACTCTCGCTTAGAGATCACGAGAACTCGGAACTGAGAAGTCGCACGCTGCGTCGTACGAACATTTAAATCTTTTTCATTTTGTAAATATTCTGAAACCGTTTACGTCTTCATTAAATATGTTTGTGTAAAGAAAGTATTTATCATTTATGGATTATCCCCTTCAAGATTTTGCAGATATTCGCAGAGGAACTTCAGCCCTGTGGCCCTGGCAGAAACCATTGGAACAAGGTAAGCAGTTTTGTTTTACCTTGATTAATTAGTTAGAAGTAACGATAATGATATAAATAATAATAAGCCATCCCCTTCCTGAAAACATTTTGAAATAACATACATCTTATACATAACTTGGATGTTTTCAAAGTTTCAGTACATTATGAAAATTATAAAGGTTTATTATACTATCCCCAAAATAGAGTCTTGATGTGCATCTTATACTAGCAAATGGCACACACATATATACCCATTATGAATGTTAAGACTCATAAGTCTAATCTGAATGATTTATATTCAGTGGTAATTTGGTCTAATTTATATACATTTATGTATTTTTTCATACTTTGAACAACATAGCTTTTAAAAACAAATATTTAACTCAATATTACTTTATATTTTATTTTAAGTCTATGCTTTTTGAAATGATTTAGAAGCTTTTCCTTTATGTGTACTATTAAACTATCTTAGAAATTAAAAAATAAATTATTTGTTAATAAAAATATTATTTTATTTGAAACACATGTGATGTAACTTACATCTTTAATTCCATATTAGCAGCTTTTTTTGATTATTACGAGGCATATTCGGAAACTAAGTACCGTTTTGAAAAAAAAAAAAAAAAAAAAGTAACAACTTTTTCCAATCCAATTTTATTTTTACATGAAAATACATTAAACTATTTTTCTTAAACTATTTTTCAGCATAGTTTCCGCCAATGATCAAACAATTGTCATAGCGGGTGACAGTTTTTGTATACCATCGTCAAAGAAACTTCCCGCCAGTTTCGATAACCACGACTCCACAGCATTTTTCGTGTCATCGTCAGATCCAAAGCGCTTGCCACCAAGCTCGCGCTTCATGTGCAGGAACAAGTGATAGTCGGACGGCGCCAAGTCCGGGCTGTACGGCGGGTGATCGAACTGCTCCCAATGAAACTGTCGAATTAACGATTGAGTGACACCAGCAGTATGGGGCCGAGCATTGTCATGGAGCAACACAATTCCTTTACTGAGCATTCCTCTTCGTTTGTTTTGAATGGCACGCCTTAGTTTTGTTAAAGTCTCACAATATCGTGCCGCATTAATGGTTTCACCTCTGGGAAGAAATTCAGTAAGCAAAACGCCTTTCCTATCCCAGAAGACAGTGCACATGATATTTTGTGATGACATTGTCACTTTGAACTTTTGCTTTTTTGGAGAATGAGTGTGTCTCCACTCCATCAATTGTTGTTTCGAGTTTGGTGTGAAATGACACACCCAAGTTTCATCATCTGTCACAATTTGGTTTAAAAAGTTTTCTCCCTCATCACTGTACCACGTGAGAAATGTCAGGGCACTACCAAGTCGCTTTGTTTTGTGAACATCAGTGAGCATTTTTGGAACCCATCGGGAACACAGTTTGCGATAATTCAAGCGGTCAGACACAATTTCGAACAAAACCGTACGTGAAATTTGTGGAAATGCCTCTGAAAGAGTTGTCATTGTGAAGCGTCTGTTCTCATGAATTGCTTCATCAACTTTCCTTACCAAATCATCGGTGACAACAGAAGGCCGACCACTCCGAGCCTCGGCGTGGACATTTGTTCGACCTGCATTAAACATTCTTACCCACTTTCTCACCATTCCATCACTTATCGCGTATTCACCGTAAACTTCTGTCACTTGACGATAAATTTCGGCCGGTTTAACATTCCTCGCGTTCAAAAATTTAATCACGGCACGAATCTCACAGTCAGCGGGAGAACTAATTGTCTTAAACATTTTGAATGTGCACAGCAAACTGAAAACACAACATAGAGCAACCAAAATGGCAACAATTGAAAGTCAGTGAACAAGAAAGACTAGTGCGCATGCGCGGGATGCCTACCACAGCGCTGCGATGGCACTAGAATGAAACGGTACTTAGTTTCCAAATACGCTACGTATATTTATGAAGAATATGAATTTAAAAAAATGCAAAATGATTAGTATAAAAAAATTTGCATTAATATAGTAGTTATTTAAATTTAATTGGTAGTTCATGCACACTAAATGCATAAAAAGGTTAATAGACATAAAAAAAATGAGGAATCATAATTAAAAAAAATATACCTCTAATGTAGGAAATAAATCTACATTTTTCTCAAATACACGCAAATGTGAAACTCCAGTCTCCAAAATAGCTTTCGAAAGCAAACCAGGACCTACAACAGAAATTAAAAATATGCTTTAAAAATGAACTTTTCTAACTATGCAATAATCAATATGTAATATTGCAATTAAATTTTTTTTTTAATTTAATGATACTAATACATGTAAGTTAGTTTTAAGTATAAAAAAAGCTCAAAGATATGGACAAACAATTAACCATGTTTTTGAAATAGAAGACAATACATTTTGAAATTCAAAATGATACAAAATTAAGATGTATAATTATTTTCAATTAACACTGGAGAAATTCATTTTAATCAATTTTTCCATTGTAAAAAATCCAAGTACAAGAAATCGGGTTGTTGGTGAAAAAGAAAATAGATAAAAATGAAAATGAAAGGCAATTAATTGTTATTCCTCAAAAATATAGGGATCAAATGCAGAACTATACATCTTTGATATGGAACCAAACAAATAATAGCGCTAAAACTCAGGGTAATTTGGTCAATACTCACTCTCCTAATAGTCAAGCTTCTGTCAATGCTTCACAGAAATCTGATAGAAAAACTAAGTGTTCACCTCCTGGTATGAAAACTGAAGTGATTGATACGGAACTTGACTCACCTTATTTAACTGGTGATTCACCTTCTATGGATAGTGTAAATGATTATTCCCCTACAAATTCCCCAGTTCACTTTTCTCCAAAAAGCAAAGATGTGTTTGACAGTTTGTTAACAGCAGATCAAAGAACTTCTGATAAAAAAATTCATGAAGGTACTTCTAAAGCTAAGAAATTAAAAATACACTCAGGATCTAAGCACGCATTAGAAGACTTAGCAAAGAGGCATAAACATGATAAAGGATACTCAAAGTTGCCATATTCAATGAGAATGCAAGTAACAAATTAGAACAAAAGTTCATCTCGCAAGGAGCAAAAACTATCTGAAAAGAAAGAACTGATAAAGTGAGCCGATTCTCAGTTAAAAATTCTAGATAAATTGTCAAGTTCTGCAGTTGAGATGCAAGTCAAGGATAAGTTTTTAAAGAAGCTAAACAGACAAGACAAGTTGTTGAAGAAGAAAAACCGTCTCAAGGGCCTATACCACACACACCTGATTTCAATAAGGAGTTTATTTTGCAAACTGATGCTTCAAACTGGTATGAGTGTTATTTTAGCTCAAAAGGATGAACAGGACAATGAACATCCAGTATTATACCTCAGAAAGAAGTTTACAGAAACTGAAAAAAAGTACTCTACCACAGAAAAGGAATGCGCCGCCATATGTAAATGTAAAGAATGTAAAGAACCTGCAATGTTATTTAGGCGGGCATAATAAATTCCTCATCACGACTGATCATAATTCCTTAGTTTGGCTAAAAAATAATGCAAGTCTAAATCCACGACTTACAAGATGGGCACTAGTATTACAACCCTACAATTAAACTGTCGTTCATCAAAGTGGTAAAAACCATAAAAATGTAGACGCATTACGTTGTATTCCCTGGCCTGATTAAATAATTTGTTTTTCTATATAGATACAAAAAATTATTTTGTTCTTTCCTCTCTTCCTCAGTGTATGTTACTATGTTACTTGTTGTATTTCAATTCTGTTATGTACTGATATTGTGCTTCGAGAAACTTTAATTTATAAAAATATTAATTAAAGTTTATCTGGAGGGGGGAGAGGTTGTAATATTTTATTATTTAACAAATAATTATATTTATAATCCTTTGATACTGGAGTGGCAATGCCATATTTATATCATGTAACCGTTGCTCAACAACGTCAGATTGTTTAAAATTGTTATTCTGAAAGTTTTACCAGCTAGTAGATGTATGAAAATTTTGTAACTAAAAGATTGTATTCAAATTATCTATCTCCATAAACTAAAAATAAAATTTATGTTTTACTAAGAAGATCATCTGTTATTTTGTTAAATACTGCAAAGTACGTTACAGTACTTTCAAGTAATTTTGAGAAATGGAAGACACTCGAGATTTCTCTACAGCAGGGGGAAACTATATACGGCTGGACAAAGCACCCGTTCTCAATTTTTAATTCAGCATTAAATTCTTAGTATTGAGAGATCTCCATGAGAGCTCTAGATGTGCTTTCATTATGCTGTTTAATGTTATTAGTAGTTTCAAGTAACAGCTGTACCAGTACTTTTGTGGAAAGTTTCAGAACTATACAGTGTTTCTTTTGGTAAAATAAACTCTATCAAGCTATTATTGATTCTATGTGCATTCAGTCCTTTACGAAGCCATACACAAGTAACAATTTTTGGGTTTTTTCTTCATTACATTGTTTAGTCGGCGATAATCAATGCAAAAACTAGTTAAACCAAACTTTTTTTTTTATCAAAAATCAATAATTTAAATTTTTTTTTTTTTTTTTTTTTTAATATTGTTGGACTGACTGGATCAAGTTCAGAGTAACTTCAGAGTATTGAGAGATTTCAGTGTGAGCTTCGGTTTTTAGATGCACTATGCAATGCAGTGTGTTTAACATTCTTCACAGTTTGAAGTGGTTGGTAACTATTGATTGTACTCTGCTATTCTATAGTTGGGACATTGTAATTAAAGAACTCTGTAAACTACTTAGCATAGAACAGGGTTTCTCAAACATTCAGTTGTGAGCCTTTTTTATCACTGAGATTTTTTCCTGACCCCTTGGACCCCATAATGTTTATAAAAATTTTATGGAACCCACAAGTATTGCGCAAATCTAACACACGCGCGAGTCAAACTGTCAATTTCTTCACTTGTACTGTAATATAGTATTGCAGTTTTAGGTCATTAACTTTAATTTTTAATTTTAAGACACAGAACAATGTGAAAATTTTAAATATGTAACAAACAAAATGACAGCATCACGTGCAAAGCAAGGAAAATGACCGTTTATATTATAAAAAGAATGCATTGAAATGTTTTCTTTTCCTTATCTTTATCTATTTTCAGATACATTGCATAAAAATATTCGGTAATATTAAAATTATTATAATAAGTTAACGAAATATCAAAACTGCTAAAATTTTTGGCAACCCACAATTTAAGAAACCCTGGTATAGACAGAACACGAACGACACCTTTACATCCACATTCAGACGGCATGGCAGAGATGTTTCCTATTTGAAGATTCTATTAAGTTAATTATGGCTAATTATAAGTAATCTAATAAAAGATTATCTAGAAGTAAGTATAAGACTATCAAGAATCTAATACAAGTTTATTCAGTTAAATTTTTATGCCAATTAAGTCAATTATGGGTTTAATGGAGGCTAACGACGCATGATTTGTGCGAAGTACAATCAGACTTGAAGATGTAATTAGCAGAGACTGGCAGACTATAGGTTCACTTACAGCAGGTCACTGGAGTATATGCTGCAACCACTTCGCTTTTCCTAATGACTCGCTTTATGCAACATTCACAGGGGTGACAGTCTTCATTATGTCAATGTGTACAGAGGCTACTAGCACTTCTTTCAGGCTGTTACAGTTCTTGGAATATTCCATTATGCCATACATGAAATTTATGTTTTAAGTTATGGATCCTGGAAGTAAAATTCCATTCTTGCTGGTACTGTGATATTGTCTTGAGCTATAATTTGATGGATGGGTTTAACTCCTTCATCTTTAATTCCAGAGTTATATCCTCACAGGCATAATAATACAGTTCGTTATTTTTCAAGTCTAGGGAAAAATTGCATATCCTTAGAAAGTCTAATCTGTGTATGCAAGGGCCAGTAATATCATTACATATGGCTGTGTGATAGTAGAAGGCACCCTGAAAGGAGATGGTTAATATTTAACATTCCATCAGTTCCGATTTCATTAGCGGACACAATCTGGAAAGGACTTCAGGATGGTGTCCAGATGAGTGTACATTCCAGTCATTGAGCCAGATCTTTCAGATGATGGTAACATTGGCTCCAGTATCAGTGTTCATACTGCAGGGAACTTCATTTATATTTCCAATCATGAAAAATCCATTACTGCTGCCACTCATAAACAACTGAAGCACTTTAAAATGGGGCTTCTCAGTGTCTTTCAATGTCCATTTTCTGAATAGTGGATATTAAGGTTATAAAAAGGTGCTTTGGCATCGTGAAATTCAAGGCAGCTTAGCCAGCAAACCATAGAGACCGCCATACATCAGAGTTGCTCGTGTCCTGATAATGTGTAAAAACAGACTGCTTGTCAGGTTGATCCAACCAGGAAAAATCAATGCCTTGAGGCAGAACAGGACTGAAAACAAACTGACCCAAAACTGCAATTGTGAAGGCCGCATATGAAGAAACCGCAGGCACGCTAAGGGATGGAAAATAAGCCTGCTCCCCAGCAAGGAGCAGGAAACAAAATAGTGACTATCTTGCAGAGCGGAGGTTGATAGATATTGAAAATCCTCATTTTAAAGCACTTCACACTTCTGCAATGAGCAGCGGAGGTAATAGACTTTTCATTATGTGACATATAAATGGAGATTTTTGTGATATGACCATTGATACGGAGCCAATGTTACCATCACCCGAAAAGATCTGGCTCAACAACTAGAATGTAAACTCATCTGGGCAACGTCTCGCATTCTCCCTCCAGATTGTATATGGTGATAAAATTGAAACTGGTGCAAAGTTAAATATTAACATCATATTTGGGAGTGCTGCCTACCATCACATGACATATGTGGGAGATATTACTGACCCTTGCATGCTCGGATTAGACTTTTCTAAGGAAATACAATTTTTCCTTAGACTTTAAAAATAATGAACTACAATCTGCCTCTGAGGCCCTAACCTTGTATGGAAAAGTTAAAGATGAAGGAGTTAAGTCCATTACCAAATAAATAGCTAAAGAGGATATTATACTACCAACAAGAGTGGAATTTTTACTACCTGGATCCATTGCTGAAAACAGAAATTTCCAGTATGGTATAATGGAATATCCCATTTCCGATATAAAAATTATGAAAATGAATAATGGTTTATGAAAAATGGTTTATTTCTGCAGCCACAAGCAGTTGCAGATATTCTGCCAGCAGGTGTTCTTATAGTATACAGACAGAACATTAATTGAGGATATTCTTTCTAAATAAAATGAAGATTTCAAAATGAATACCTGGATTTGCTTCTAAAACATAACCATTCCAGTCTTCACATAAATAAGATGCAATTGAATCTAGAAAGAGTAAAAATACATAAAATACATTTATAAAAAAATACCACAAGAAAAATTTAAACATCAGTTACTTATATTCTGAATATGATGCAGTAAAAGAAATTACCCTTACTGGGAAAAGCCCCTAGAATGGCTTGGTTTATTTGATTAAGCACATGAGGGTTAAGGATAGGGATGCCTTCATGGAGGACCGTCTAGGGAAAAACCATGAAAATGCCTATGCAGGCAGCCCATTTACCGGGATTCAAACAACTATCAGTGTTCAAGCCCCCTAGAAATAATGATGAAAACATAGCAAAATCCATCACCAAATAAATAGCTAAAGAGGATATTATACCAAATAAATAGCTAAAGAGGACAAGCTTATTAAAATATTAGATGGAAAAACATATGGAGGGGAAGCATATCAGTTTGAATTCAAAATTGAATAAAATTCAAGTTTACAATGATTTTGTAAAGACTATGTACCTCAAGGTACACAAGTTTCGCTTCTTCAAGAAACAAAAAAAGCTATCTCTGTCTATATATACTGCATATGCTTATGTGACACCTTCACATTTTATCTATACATTTCAATAGAAATTTATAGGTGTGGACATTTCACAGGTCCTTTTCCTAAATGTGATAATGTGTACTTATTCACTTATTCTGCTACAGAAAGTAGACAGCAATTTTTGAAAAGTAAAATACACATAAAAGGAAAGATAAATGAAAGTTTTACTTCCAATGCACAAAAAGGCTTCGGAAACTTGTCCTCAGAAAATAAGATTTAAACAAAATATATAGTATGAACATATAGATGGAATTCAATTGCAGAATCAGAATTTAAACAATAAAAGTTCAAAATATCATGAAGAAAGCCTAATGTGATCTCAACCTTCATAACATTATTTAAATAGAGAACCCTGATTTACAGCAGGACAAAGAAGGAAGTGATAACTAGTATACATAAAGGTGGAATTTGGAATGGATACCCCTGACTATCAAATATTCCAATTCTATTCAAGTATGCAACCAAGCAGTCCTGCTCAGCTACTAGTCAGAATGTAACAACTGCACTGCCTTAAGGCTAATTTGATAAATTGTCAAAACCCTTGCTCTAGACTTTGTTTTTAATGAAAGGTAAATGGAAGTACAGTCAAAAGTCGTTAATTCGGACACCCATAATCCGGACCTCAAACAAAACTTTTCTCGAATGCGCCGCTGGGGACACATTAACCACTGCGCAGTGCATGTGCCCAGCGCAGATACTTTTCGCTGCGCGTTTTATGTATAACGACGTTAAATTAAAATTATCAATTATCTATTTCAGTATGTTGAGATTACGTTGTTCCTAATCTTCGAATTGGATCTGGCTTATTGTTTTGCAGACTGTAAGAGCAATTTTAAAAGTAAACTTTACTTTCGATGTCAATAGAATTTCATCTGGATCCCAAGGATCGTACAAACGAAGTATGTTCGATGTCCATCAACAAACAGTGGAATTGCTCAAAAATAATAAAGACATGAAGAATTTACAAGAGGTAGTGAAACAAAATTTCGATTGACAAGTTAGTCGTATCTTGTCACAACAATTAACGGCTTGAACAGCGAATTTGTATTGAGAAGAATTGTGTCTGTTTTATAGAATACGGAAGGTATTATCACATAAAATGAAGCACTTAAAATAACTTACTTGAAGAAAGTTAAAAGGACAATAAAATAAAGCTTTATTTTTTTATTTTTTGTAATTTGATACCCGTTAGATTATATTGTTCTTATTTCATAAATTAAGGTTTCATATTTTAATTTTAGATTCTGCTGCCATCTTACAGATTAAACTATGATCTATAATCCGAAAATCGATATCCGGAATCGCCGAAGTCCCGACGAGTCCGGATTAACGACTTTTGACTGTATCAATCATTTAAGTGCTTTACATACGAATTAGATTTCTATACATATGTCTATGCAGCTTTCAGTTATTTTCTTTAAAGCATACAGGAAGTCCAGATATTCAACAATATTTAACAATTACTTTTAAACACATTTAAAACATATTTTACTCTTTATGCCCTCATAACAGCTTGCATTGACCTAAACTAATATCTTCCCAAACAGAAGTATTTTAAAACAAAAGTGCTTATACAGGGATTACACGGATTAAATTTATAGCTTATACAGGGTGCTTATACAGGGATTACACAGATTAAAATATTATAAATATATAGGGATTACACGGATTCAATTTTCATATTTCTGAACATCTTAGATAACTTTTATCCAAGATTCTAAATTCAAAGATTATTGGAAATTCCCCAAGAATCTTCACATATTAATATTTATCATTTCAAGACATATTTCCACATATTTGCTAAAGAGAACATATAGTGCAGCTGATGGGCCTCAAGACACTAATTGGTTTTTGAGGGTATAGAAGTTGGCTGTCATCGATCTCAAGTACAGTACAAAGTACAAAATCCGAATATCAGTTATCTAGAACGATCTAAAATCTGAACCTCAAAACAACCACCAACGTTTTCTCATAGGCTTTATGCATACACATTCGATTTACCCCTCCGCGCATAATAAAACATCTGGAAAGTCCTGATTCTTATTTACACTTCGACACTAAATAAAATGGCTTGTTATTGAAGAAGCAATCATTTTAGCATAAATTTGTATGATTAGTAATTTGGTTCCGTAAGCTACGTATCTGCTTGGCATACATCTCAAACTGAAACATTCCACATA